AAGGAAGGAAGGAAGGAAGGAAAGAAAGAAAGAGAGAGAGAAAGAGAGGGAGGAAGAGAGAGAAGGAAGGAGCGAGGGAGAGGAAGAAGGAAGGAAGGAAGGAGAAGAAAGGAAGGAAGAAAGGGGAAAGTCCGTGAAGTATTCTGTTTTTTTTTTTAACATATTTCATAAAGTACAGGTTAGGACATAGGATAGCCACGTAAGTCTACATCAAGATTACACATATAAAACGTCTGCTTTCATAATCAGAAACTATGAAACAATGAGAATGTCTCCAGCCTTCTGGACAGGCAGTTCCCTAGGGGGCAAGAAACATAGCTATTCCCAGATCACAAAACCTGCTCTCTGCTCTCACGGACACCGTGCCAACTAGTGGGTGGAGATGAGAGGGAATCTCTGGACTGCCTTGCCCCTCTTCCCACAGCCCCAGGAAGCAAGCTGTCAGAAGCCTTTCTAGGCAGCTTCTGAAAGGCCCTGTGCCTGAAAGCCTAGGGGCACCAGGAGCAGGTGTCTAGCACCTTCTTAGCCACCTTGAAGCCTGACGCAGGTAGAAGGGTGGAGGACACAGGGGCCTGAAATGACAAGAAGCTCCCTTTGAGAAACCATGTGCTGGGTTTGCTAACTTCTCTCCCAACACCATCCCTTAAAACTTAGCCAAGCACGGGTGGCACATGCCTGTAATCCTAGCTCCTCAGGAGGCTGAGATTTATTTCCAATGAACCACCAAAAAAAAAAAGAGCTGGAAAGTGGAGCCGTGGCTCAAGTGGTGGAGAGCTAGCCTTGAGCAAAAGAAGTTCAGGGACAGTGCCAAAGGCCTGAGGTTCAAGCCCCAGGATGAACACATGGACACACACGGAGCCTTAAACTTGAGGGGGTGAGGTTGATGATGATACATCCATGAACCCATCCCCTCCGCGCAACAAATGTAAGCTAATAGCAAAGGGAAGAAATACATTTGGAGCAAAGCAGATGGAACAAATAGAGGGGCGTGGAACTCCACCCTTCTCCACAAACCCCAGCAAGGTGCCTGGCTGAGGGACCTGGTTTAACAGTTCAGCCAGTTCATCGCCCGTGGGGACAGCTCAAAGCTGCCTCCAGATGGCCTCTGGGGGGAGGGGGGGTCCCTTTCTCCAGAATTCTCTTTAAAGCCTATCCGGGCTCTTGAATCTTCTCGGGACGCGTTTCCTTGGCCTCTTCCCTTCCCATCGCCCATCTCCAGGCCCCTCTGGAGAATGAGGTCAGCTCTCCCTCGGGGGCTCCCAGCTGGCCTGACAAGGAGACCCCTGCCCCCCCGGTCCTCCCTCCCTCCACCTCCCCCCCCCCCCCGGGCCCAGTCTCCTCTCAGGTTTTCTGGGTCACCGTACCCCTGGGCTGACCATCCCATTTCCATCTCTAGTGTCATTGCAATGGCTACCCAGGCCTCAGGACAGCTGCAAACTCTTTTTGGAGGGGGCTGGGGGGGGGGGGGAGAAAGAAAGTAAATGGCCAGCCTCGGGGTCCCCAAGGCCGATCGCGGAGTCGGGGTCACGGGGCGGGGGTGGGGGGCCGAGCTTTGGATCTTGGGGACGCGGACGCGTGCTCTACCATATGGGTGCGGGGTGGGGGGGGACCCGCGTTCGGGGAGGGGGAGGGGGCCCCGGGTCTGAGGGGTGACGGCCTGGGGTCTGGAGAAGCGGGGAGGGGGGGTCTGGGGTTTGGAGATCGGGGGGGGGGGGTCGGGCGGTCCCACTGGCGGCTGACCCCCCCCCACCCGGGCACTTGGGGCGAGGCCGGGCCCCACGGCGGCCCCGCGCCGCGGCGAGGCCCTCACCTCGATGAGCGAGTAGTTGATCTCCACGTCCGACTTGACGAAGCCCCCGCAGCCCACCACGATGTCCTCGGAGCCCCGCGCCGGCCCCGCGCCGCTCAGCAGCAGCGGGAGCAGCAGCAGCGTGGGGGCGGCGACCCCCCGGGGGCCCGGCGGCCCCGCACCCCGGCCCCACCGCATGGCCCGGCCTGGCCCCGGCCTGCCTTCAGCCGCCGACCCTCCGCAGGCCGCCCGGTCCCGCCCCTCACACCGCACGCTGCCCGGCTCCTTCCTCCACGGGCGCCGGGTGACAGCCCAGACCCCGCCCACCTGCCCGCAGCGCGCAGGCGCGCCACGACAACCACGCCCCTTCACCAAAGAGCGCCACCGCGCATGCTCTACAAAAAGCCAAAAGTCCCGCGGGCGCCCCCTCGGGACACGGAGGACTCCATGCACCTGCTGACAGGTGTGCACGTAACTCCGGAAGCTGAATTGTGTTTTAGATTCAACCTCACAGCCGGAGCCTGGGCGCTGGTAGCTCACGCCTGTCCTTTCCTGAAACGATCCATGCCCTTCTTTCTTTTTGCTCCTTAAAAATAAAAACAAGTGCTTTGTTTTGATACTTTTTTTTATATATTGTTTCCAAATGATGAAGTGAGAAAGATTTTTCCACTACACTCTGCCATCAGGATTAAAGCATACAGCTAAGAACCATCAGTTACCCAAACCTTTTGTTGGTGGTGCTCTACCACTTGAGCCACAGTTCTACTTCCTTGTTTTTGGTGCTCAATAGGAGATAAAGAGTCCCACCTTTTTCCCTGCCTGGTCCAGCTTCAAACAGACATCCTCAGATCTCCGTCTCCTGAGTAGCTAGAATTGCAGGCATGAGCCACTAGCGCCGGGTCCAAACCTTCTCATCATGATCAGAGCCTCTACCTTCTGCTACAAGGGTTCCAATCGTGGGTGCATCTGATTTGCTTATTCCTCTACATTCTTCCTGGAATATACTTACATTAAATAGAATGCACATTTATCTAATAGAATGTAGGTTGAGTGTCTACATAGACATCTATTTAATATAGTTGAAACTCAACTACTCTGTTATTCAGAGAAACTATTTAAATAGTTTGGGGAGTGGGTTATTACTTGTAACCACAACTGAAAGCAGATGCTTGGATTTTATTTTTGATGGTACTGGGGTTTGAACTCAGGGCCTTGCAATATCTAAAGCAATATCTAAAGCAGGGGCTCTACCACTTGGGTCTCCCCCCACCCCCAATCTCTCTACCCTTAGCTACTTTTCTGATACAATGTCACATTTATGTTACACTTTCCTGTAGCAGGCATAATAGGCATGCTCCGCCCACATCCAGTTTTCATTCTATCCCTGCTGATCTCAAGACATGGCCAGCTTGGTCTCTACTCCCTAAATGGCCAAGATTAACAGCTGTGCACCATGGTGCTCGCCATCTGCCTACCCTCCTTCACGTGAAGCAGGAGTTTGTCGTAGAAAATCATTAGAGTGTAGACTTAAAGAAGACAATTTGCAGAGTCCATCCCAACCTTCCCATCTCACAGAGGCTAGGCTGAGGCCTACGGTTTTCCAGCTCTGACTGCTGGAAGAGAGGAGTTGGGGCTCTTCAGCCCAGCTGATGGTGGCTGCCATGTTCTCCTGACTTCTTGGCTGTTCCCTCAACTCCGTCTTCAAATAGATCAATAAAGGAAGCATCAGGGGTGTGACAAGGCTGGGGGCGGGGGTGTCAGATGGCTGGGAGAGGGGGATCTGGCTTCTTCACGATGTCTTCCAGCCTGTACAGTTGCCAGTGTTAATGGTAAACCTGACCCATTCATGATTCCTTTGAGGGAGGGGGTGGCTGTTGAGCTCCACCCAGTGAGCAAAATCATCAGACAATGAGTTCAAGTCCCAGTTGCAAAGAAAAGAATCCTGGGTTCTTTTGGACCCAGCTTTTCCCAAACACTTGGCAGAACAATGAAAGGGCACTGCCCAGATCCCATCCCACAGCAGAAACGGGGAGACTCAAAAAAAGAAAGGGGAGATTGGGCCCGGTGGCTCACACGTGGCCCGGAATCCTGGCGACTCGGGAGGCTGAGACCTGAAGCATCGAGATTTCAAAGCTAGCTGGAGAAAGGAAAAGTCTGCGGGTGAATTGGAGAGGGAGTCTCCCAAATCATCTGCAGGTTGCTGGACTGGAGACGTGGCCCAAGTGGTAGAGTACCAGCCATGGGCAAGCAAGCCCAGTGAGGGCTGAGGTCTTGAGTTCAATCCCCAGAACTTTCCAAAAGAAAAAAGAAGAAGAAAGAGGGGTGAACACAGCTGGGGGAAGCCCCTCCCTGGAGGTGCTGCAGGAGGTGAGGGCAGAGGATGAGAATGAGACACCCCCAGAAGCAAGACAGCTTTGGTTTAGGCATGACACCCCCCCCCTCCTAGCTCCTGGCTAGCTAGGTGGAGTGCTACATTTGAGCCACAGCCCCCAAGTCCTAGGCACATTGTTTTTTTTTCTTTTAGATAACACGTCCTGTTCTATACTATAATCTTTTCTTTTTGGTACTCAGAAGCCATCTTTCCGCAGGAACAGATTTCTACAGTGTGTGTGTGTGTGTGTGTGTGTGTGTGTGTGTGTGTGTGTGTGTGTGTCCATACTGGGGCTTTAAGCCCAGAGGCTGGACGCTGTCCCTGAGCTTTTATGCTCCAGCCTAGCGCTCTACCACTTGAGCCACAGCTCCACTTCTGGCTTTTAGGTGGTTCCTGGGAGAGAAGAGTCTCAAGGTTGTGCTTCCAACCATGATCCTCAGATCTCAGCCTCCTGAGTAGCTGGGATTACAGGCGTGAGGTGCCTTTGGGCGCCTGGCTGCCATGCACTTTTGCTGCTGGCCCCTGGTCTCAAGGAGAGGAGGCCTGGGTGGTGTGAGCTCCCTCTGAGCATCTCTTTCCTTCCTGGACGTCCACACCTTGCATTTTCTGGAAGGTTTGGTGCACTCACTGTGACTTTCGGCAGAAAGGAGCCTGGGGGGTCACTGCAGCCTCGGGGACCCCAGGGTCACCTCCTCCTCCCCTCCCCCCCCAGGTCCCTGGACTCACCTGGCTTCACCCCTCCGAGTTCTGGACTTTGCCCTGGGCCAGCTCCAGCCTGGGTTGAACCTGCCGGCCCCGCCCCCGGGGAGGAGAGGCTGCGAGTGAGGGACAGGGGGACAGACAGACAGAGGGACCAGAGGGACGGACGCCTGTCGGATCAACGATGGTCCCGTCCGGGGAGCCATGCTCTGAGCTGGGGGTGAGTGTCCCTCCCTTCCCTGGCTGAGATACGGGGGTGTGGGGCACCCCAAGTCTTTGTGTGCCGCTCATTTCCCAGCTCTGTGCGCCCCCTAAACCCAGCAGGCCCTTTGTGCCCTGCCTGCTGCGTGTGGAGGGCATCGTGGCGTCCACCCAACCGCGCCCAGCACCCCGCTGGGGCGCAATTCCACCCGCCACCTCCCTGCTCTCCTGCTTGGACGGACCCAGCAGAAAGATGAGTGTGTGTGTGTGTGTGTGTGAAAAGTCCTGAGAATTAAGTACTCCAGGGAGGACTTGGGACACTTTTCCATAAACACTGGAAGCCGGCATGGCCCATCCTGTGTATGACACCCTGTGTGTGCGTCATCCTGTGGGCCACCCACTGGGTGCCATCCCATAGGTGCCAGTCTATGTGTGTGCCGTTCCAAGGGGTGCCCTGTATTCAATTCAGGTCTGGAACCAGACGGAGCCGGCGCCCGGCGCCCACCGCCTGCTGAGCGCATGCCTGCTGAGAGCGCTGGGGGTCTGGGCGCCGCCCCTGTACCTCTGGGTCCTCGGCCCCGCCCACCTCCTCCTCCTCCTCCGCCAGCGCCAGCCCAGCTACCTGCGCATGTCACCCCTCTTCAAGGCCAAAATGGTAGCAGCCACCACTGGGGGTCTGGAGAGAGGGGAGGGGGATCTGCGGGAGATCTGGGGGAGCCCTCTGCAGAGAGACCAGCAGGGGCCCTCTAGCCAAACAGATCGATGCTGGAGAGGCTACGGAGGTAAAGCCAGAGGAGCAAAGTTCCCTGGGCTTTGTGATTGTGAAAAGTCCTGGGGCGCACAGACAGACAGACAGACACAGACACACACATCATTCTAAAGTGTCCAGCCGTCCCAGGATCTTGTGCCTGTTGAGAGCTCACAGTGACTTTAGTTTGTGGTGCTGCTGGGTGCTAGGTCACTTGAGTTACACTTCAAGCCCCTTCCCCTTTTTTTCTTTGGTGGGACTTGAACTCTGGGCCTGGGCACTGTCCCTGAGCTCATCAGCTCAAGGCGAGCATTCTACCACTTGAGCCACAGTACCACTTCCAGTTTTCTGGTGGTTCATTGGAGATCATTGTCTCAAGGACTTTCCTGCCTGGCCTGGCTTTGAACCATGATCCTCAGATCTCAGCCTCCTGAGTAGCTAGGATGACAGGCGTGAGCCACTGGCGCCCCGCTAGCCGCCATCTTTCTTTCTGCCTCCCCTGCCCCCCTCCCCACCCCCAGCCTCACGGGAGCCTGTTTCCCAGGTGCTGGGGTTCACCCTCATCCTCTTGTGGGCATTCAATGTGGCTGTACCACTGTGGAAAACCCAGTGGGGAAGACCCCAGGCCCGGGAATCCCTCATCCACCCAACGGTGTGGCTGGCCACCATGGTAATGCCTGGCTTTCCCCGCCTGGGGTGGGGATGGGGAGGAGGAGAGGAGCAGGGGGGAGGAGGAGGGGAGAGGGGAGCAGAGCCTCCCCTCCCTCACTGAGGCCTCACGCGAGTGTCTTGGCCAGACCTTTGCTGTGTTCCTGATTCACGTGGAGAGGAGGAAGGGAGTCCGGGCGTCTGGGGTGCTGTTTGGGTACTGGTTACTGTGTTGTCTCCTACCCATCATTGATGCTGCCCAGCATGCTTCAAGAGGGGTAAGTGGAGGACCACATCGCTGGGGCGGGGGGCAGGGGTGGAGGCGGGGTGGGGGGGGTGAAGGGGGGAGCTCATGCCTGTGATCCCAGCTACTCAGGAGGCTGAGATCTGAGGATCATGGTTCAAAGCCAGGCCGGGCAGGAAAGTCCCTGACACACTTATCTCTGATGAACCACCCAAAAGCTGGAAGCGGCGCTGTGGCTGGAATGTTCAATGCTAGCCTTGAGCAAAAAAACCCCAAAAGTTCAGGGACAGCGCCCAGACCCTGAGTTCTGAGTTCAAGTCTCAGGACCAGCGCGCGCACACACACACACACACACACACACACACACACACACACACACACACAACCCAACAAACAATGCAGCAGCTCAGGCATTTCATGTGGCTTTTCGTCGACACATAATAGCCATTCCACGGAGGGCATGTTGATGTAGCCAGACATGGTTCAGTATTCAGCTCGGGACGATCCACTGAGCATGTGCGGAAGGAAGGAACTCCGTGGCCCCTCCAGGAAGGGGCAGCAGATGCTCACCCACTGGCTCCGTCTGTGTTCCCCTTCTAGCCAGGTGACCTGGGTTCCTCAGAAATCAAAGGCAGCAAATGAAGTGCAGCTGGGGTCTGGGTGTGGCGGTGCACGCCTGTAATCCCAGCAAGTCAGTCTTTAGTCCAGAAGCTGCCACCTGTTTGGAATCCAGAAGGCTGACAGTGTGGGAGGCCTTCTAACGCTAAGGCTCTGTGTGTCTGTCCGGGAACCCTGTCCGGCCACAGGCTATCCACCGTGGGCCCTCTGCTCCTCTACTGCTCCCCGTTCAGTGCTCCGACACCTGCTGTCTCCCCGCAGGACTTCCAGAGCGACCCCCTCCCCCACCTGGCCACCTACCTGTGCTTGTTGCTGGTGGGGGCAGAGTTCGCGCTGGCCTGCCTGGTGGACTGGCCCCCCTTCTTCCCGAAAGACCCCCAGCAACCAGTAAGTGGGCAGGTCGGCCACCACGCCCAGCCATGGGGAGCCGGGGTGGCAGGCATGCACCACTGCACCCGGCCATCCGTTGAGATGGAGACTTCAACACTTCTTTGGGGCTCGGGCTGGCCTCAAACCTCCGTCCCCCATCTCCTCCTCACAAGTAAGCGGAGATGAAGGGCTGAAGCCACCCCTGCCTCTCATTAAGTGCATTCAGCCATTCGACAGACACCAGAAGTGTGAGCCAGCCCCTCCTATCTTATGTTGAGACCAGGTCTTGATCTGTACCCCACGTTGACCTTGAATTCCGGATCGTCCTCCTGCTTCTGCGTCCGGGATGCTGGGATTCCAGGGGTGCGCTACCCTGCCTGGCTCCTTGCTTTCTTTTATATTTTGCAGAATCCCTGTCCTGAAGCTGGGGCTTCCTACCCCTCCAAGGCCCTGTTCTGGTGGGCTTCCGGGTGAGTAAGACCAAGGGAGGGGCTTGGGGGGCCCAGCACCCCCACCACCACGGAGGTTCATGCAGGATTTGCGACCACAGCATCAGGCCGTCCCCTCGGCTTTCACTTACCCTAGCTCTGCCTCTCAGCTGCTGGGTCAGAGGTTCCCAGGCTGGCAGAGGAACTCGGGGAACCCCTACTGACCCCACTTAGGTCTGACATTGATAGCAGATGATATCGATTTGAATCCTGACACTTCACTGCTGTGTGGCCTTGGGCAGGCTACTTAACCTATCTGCGCTGCACTCTCCACGCGAGAGCAGCGGGGCTGGTGGGTGGAGAGATAAAGTAAGGTGGTGGAAGCACATAGCGCCATGCCGCCAAGTTCCCAGAACCCCAAGCGACGCTGCCCCTCCCCGCAGCCTGCCCCAGCGTGCTCTCCATTGGATAGGGGCACAGAGCAGACCCTCCATCGTGTGCCGGGGAATATTAGAGACCCCCCAAGAAAACAGGGCACCCCACACAGGACGCTGGCTTGCCCCGGTGTAGGGTGAGGAAGTGTTTGCTCCGTTTACTCACACACCTGTGCCTGCTGACGTGGGGGGACCCCACGCTACAATTTTGATCTAAACAATTGGATTTTTTTAAAAAGAGAAAACCAGGCCCTGGTGGCTCACGCCTGTCATCCCAGCTACTCAGGAGGCTGAGATCTGAGGATCATGGGTCAAAGCCAGCCCGGGCAGGAAAGTCCATGAGACTCTGATCTCCAATAAACCCCCAGAAAACCACAAGTGGCACTGTGGCTCAAGTGGTAGAGCGCTCAGCTTGAGCACGAAAGCTGAAGGACAGCGCCCAGGCCCAGAGGTCAGGCCCCACACCAACATAAAATAAAACAATAGAAGCTCCTAGTGTAAGAGTGGCCTGAGCAAAACTCCCAAGACTCCATGTGCATAACTACAGCCAAAAAAAATGAAAAGGCTGGAGGTGTGGCTCACGTGGTAGAGCGCTTCCCACAAACCTAGTGCTGCCAACATCAGGGGGATTGTTAATAATAAGTAAGTGAGAATGAAAGAGAGGAAGGAAGGAAGGGAGGGAGGGAGGGAGGAAAGAAGGGAGGGAGGAAGGAAGGGAGGAAGGAAGGGAGGAAGGAAGGAAAGAAAGGAGGGAGGGAGGGAGGGAGGGAGGAAAGAAGGGAGGGAGGAAAGAAGGGAGGAAGGGAGGAAGGAAGGAAAGAAAGGAGGGAGGGAGGGAGGGAGGAAGGAAGGAAGGAAAGAAGGAAGGAAGGAAAGAAGGAAGGAAGGAAGGAAGAAGGAAGGGAGGGAGGGAGGGTCTGGAGGCCATTGCAGGCACTGTTGGGCGGGGCCGGTGGGCGGGACTTCCTGTGGAGGGAGGAGGCGGTGAGGAGCAGGTGGCCGCGGTGGGAGCAATGCTAAGCCACGTGCAGCGCACGTGCCAAGGTCCTGGGGGGGAGGTTCCGGTTTCCTCCTGCCCGCCTTCCCCGCCCCCCCCCCCAGCGGTGCGTGGTGGGAGCGCGGGAGGAGCCGCGTGTATAGACGGGCATGGCGGCTCTCGGGGTCCCACCCTGGAGCCCCCCCTTTTCCAGGCTGCTCTGGAAGGGCTACCGGCAGGTGCTGAAGCCCCAGGAGCTGTGGTCGCTGGGGAGGGAAAACAGCTCGGCAGTGCTCGTGTCCCGGCTGGAGGAGGAATGGCGGAGGAGCCGGACGCCCAGGTGAGGCCGGGGCAGGAGACCCCGCATCTCCAGAGCCGCCAGGCCATGCCTGGGGGTCATGAGCTGCGCCAGGCCCACGGGCGTAGTGGGTTTATACTAACCTTGTCCACGCGGGGTGCCGTGGCTCACGCCTGTCATCCTAGCTACTCAGGAGGCTGAGATCTGAGGATCGTGGTTCAAAGCCAGCCCGGGCAGGAAAGTCCCGGAGACTCTTTTCTTGAACGAACCACCAGAAAACCAGAAGTGGCGCTGTGGCTCAAGTGGTAGAGCACCAGCCTTGAGCTGAAGAGCTGAGGGACAGCGCCCAGGCCCAGAGTTCAAGCCCCACGACCGATCAAAAATAATAAGGTGTCCATGCTTCAGACTTGGAGATGGCACAAAAAGCTGGACTCAAGGAGCCTGGCCCTGGGTGGCAGCCATGTGCCACGCAGCTCACCCCCGCCTACTGCTCCTGCTCTCCCCCCAGTGAGCATCTTGAATGCTAGCCCCTGCCCCAAGCTCTTCTCTCCCTCCCTTCCTCCCTCCCTCCACTCCATCCCTCCCTCCCTCCCCTTTAATTCTGTTCTCTCTCTCTCTCTCTTTCTTTCTTCCTTCCTTTCTCTCTTTCTTTCTCTCTTCCTTCCTTTCTTTCTTGTCGGTCGTGGGACTTGAACTCTGGGCCTGGGCGCTGTCCCTCAGCTCTTCAGCTCAAGGCTGGTGCTCTACCACTTGAGCCACAGCGCCACTTTGGTTTTCTGGTGGTTCATTGGAGATGAGTCTCATGGGGAATTTGCTCCTGGGCCTGGCTTTGAACCGTGATCCTCAGATCTCAGCCTCCTGAGTAGCTAGGATGACAGGTGTGAGCCACTGGTGCCCTGCTTGTCCTTTTAATTCTGATAACCTGAAGCTCCCAGCTCTCTGCATGCATCCTCGGTGACTGTTTATTGAGCACCTGCTACACGCAGCCAGGCAGTCCAGGCAACTCTGACAGCATTGGACAAATTGAGGGACAGAAGCGGGAGCGGCGTGGCGGTGGCCGGCCGGGCAGGGGCGCCCTCTGCAGGCCGGCACGGGAGACGCACGTGCCAGAATGTGCAGCTGGCTGTGCCCAGCTCAGCCATGGCGGCAGAAGCCAAGTCAAACAGTGGGCCCAGGCCTTAGACTTTGCCCTTGGCCTTGCTGCTGGGCTCCCCAGAAATCCTTCTATTTCCCCCCTAGTGGAAATGGGGGTGCCGGCGGTGCACTAGGGGGCTCGAATTCCCATGCCACCCTCTCTGTCGCCCCTGGCAGCCGCCACCGCCCTGCCACACCACCGCGTGTCTCCCTGGGGCTTCCGGGAGGAGGGACGGCCAGGCTCGGGCCGCGCTGCCCGCTGGGGGCAGGGTGGGGAGTGGGGACCCCTCTGGGGTGACGGGCCTGGAGTGAGCCCGCGCACCCCCCCCTCCTCCTCCTCTGTGACACAGAGCCCGGTCCCAGTTTGCAGGGCTTGGGAGGACCAAAGTATACAGCAGGTGCTCAATGCGTGCACGTTCCCACGTCTGCTCATGAAGCCTTAGGGCTTCCTTCCCCTCCCCCTACAGCCACACGCCTGAGCCTTCTGGGTGATGGGAAGGAGCAACTGGGCTCCCGGATGGGTCACAGCCCCCTACCCTTGCACCCCGAACCCTTGATGTGCTCCATGGCTGAGCATGCGCCGTGGCCTTCCTCTCCCCCAGGTGTGCCGCTGAGAAGTTTGAACGTGAAGGAGGCAGCCTCCCGGAGGCTCCGGAGACGGAGGCCCTCCTGCCGCGGGAGCACGGCGGGCAGGGGCCGCTGCTCAGGGCCATCTGGCGGGTGTTTCGCGGAACCTTCCTCCTGGGGACCCTCAGCCTGGTGCTCAGCGACTGCTTCAGGTTCACCAGCCCCAAGCTGCTCAGGTGAGTCCGGGCCTCGGCGCCCAGCCTGGTGGGAAGAGGGCGGAGGGAGCTCTGTCCAGGGCCAGGGGCTGTGACACCTGCGGCCTCTGTATTTGGGAGGCCCAGGGCCCCCCCGAGGGTGGACGACAAGGTTACAGGGAGGGAAGGGGAGAGATGAAAGAGTCCACTGACCCCCAGAAAGCCGAGGAGAAGACCTCCCCCCCCATCGCTCTTCCATTGAGAACAAAGCCCCCTCCGTGGATGGTAGTGACTGATTGAGCTCGTGTGGGCAGCAGAGGCCGGGTTCTGCTGAACCCGTCTCTCATTTCTGGTCTTGGCCGTACTAGGATTCAAATTCAGAACCTTGTGCTTACTAGGTGGGTTCTCTACCGCTTGAGCCAGGCATCCCACCCCTTTTTTGCTTTTAGTTTATTTTTTTCCAGATAGGATCGTGTGGTTTCTCCCAGAGACATCCTCCAAGGAGGATCCTCCTATCTCTGCCTCCCTCATTGCTGGGATTACAGGTGTATGCCACCACGCTGGACCCGGATGTGGGTTGGTTGGGTTCCCAGACTATGTGTCTGGCTGAGCCGGGCACTGGTGGCTCAGTCCTGTTTTCCTAGCTACTTCAGGAGGCTGCGATCTGAGAATCGTGGTTCGAAGCCAGCCCGGGCAGGACGGATGGAATGGGACCCTTTCCGCTGGCCTCATTTTCAATTAGTCATTTTCATTAGTCATTAGGCCCCATCTCCAAACAAAGTCACATGTGGGGCCGGAGCTAGGGGGGTGAGGTGTACTTTCCACACATGAACAGAGGGACAAGAGTCCAGACTCCTTGCTGGGAGGCGCTGCGGAGTCCCAGAGCAAAGGAGCACGGGCGTCCGGGCCTCACACCTCATTAGGGAGGCGGAGATTGGGAGGATCGTGGTTTGAGGCCAGAAAAGCTCACAAGACCACCAGCCGGACCCTGCGGCCCGCGGCCGTCATCCTAGCTACGGTGGGAGGAAAAGCCTAGGTCCAGGAAGAGGCCTGGGAAAAAAATCGAGCAACAAAACCTCGGCCTTATCTCAAAAACGGCACACGAGGGGATGGTGGCGCTTTGGGCTCAGCAATGTGAGTTCCTAAGTTCAAACCCCAGCGCCACCACCGGAAAACGCAGAGGGAGCGCAGGGCCCGCGCGGCCGGAGCGCCCTCTCACCCCGCCCCTCCTCCCGCCAGCCTGTTTCTGGAGTTCATGAGTGACCCCGAACCCCCGGCCTGGCAGGGCTCGCTCCTGGCCGCGCTCATCCTCCTCTCCGCCTGCCTGCAGACGCTGTTTGAGCAGCGGTTCATGTACTGCATGAAGCTGCTACAGATGCGGCTGCGCACGGCCATCACAGGCCTGGTCTACAGGAAGGTGAGCCCGGGTCCCGGAGCCAGCGCCCCAAGCCCAGGACACCGGGCCTACTGACACCCCGAGCTCCGCTGGAGCTCTCCTTACTGCACTCGGCCACCTGGGCTATGTCCATGACATCACTGCTCCCGCCCCTCCTCTTCTTCCCCTGCTCACACACCTGCAGCCCCCTGGGTCTCCTTCCTCTGTTCCTCGGACCTCAGGGCCTTTGCACTTGCTGCTTCCACACCAGGTCTCTTTGCCTCCTCTCCAGCCTGGCTGGTGTCATGTTTTTTTTTGGGGGGGGGGGGCCTAGATCTCATCCCTGGCTTGAGCACTCCCAATTCCTCTGAGCCTGGATATGTTCCCCTCAATTTCCTTAGTTGTGAGGAGAGTGGGGGGCTAGTAATGGGGTGCAGTTCACTGACCTTTGTCTTCCTTTAGCCAGGACATGCCTCCCCCACGAGGTTAAAGGTCACCTGCGGCGGGGGGGTGGGGGGGGAAGGTTCACTCCAAGACCCCAGGGGAGGAGGAGTCAGGGGCTCAAACTCCTCAGGGCCATTTTGTGCAGCCAGTGAGACACCAGGAAGTTGAGCCTGGTTCTCGGAGGACTCCCAGCTCAGAGGACTTTGCGGGGTTCCCACAAGTCCCCTCTCTCCCCCCCCTCCCCCGCCCTCCCCCCCCCCACTCCCCCGCACAGGTGCTGGCCCTGTCCAGCGTCTCCAGGAAAGGCCGCTCGGTGGGGGACGTGGTGAACCTGGTGGCGGTGGACGTGCAGCGGCTGAGCGAGAGCGTCCTCTACCTGAACGGGCTGTGGCTGCCGCTGCTCTGGATCGTGGTCTGCTTCGTCTACCTGTGGCAGGTGCGAGGCCTGGGGGGGCTCCTCTTCCTCCATCCTGCCCCTTCCACCTCCCAGCTGTGGGCTGGCTCTGGCCTTCTGGACGCTGCCCGACGGAGCCACTGGGTGGCGCTGTTGCCACGCACAAGGAAACCAGCCGGCCCCGCTGGGTTATGGTTAGGAAGAGTAAGGGATGGGGACCGGAGGCCGACAGACACGGGGCGGGCGGGGGTTTGTCTAGAGAATGGACCCAGTGGCTTCTCAAGAAATCTCAGTCCCCGTGACTTAGAAATCCTTTCAACCTCCTCAGGAGACAGAGACAGACACCAGGTGGAACATAGCTGTCCCAGAGGCCTGAACACAGGATGCCCGGTTAAATCTGAGTTTCAGAAAAATCTAATATGTCTTAGTCTAAGTATTTCATGGAATGTGCTTATATTAATTATTCTTTTTTGTCAGTTATGGGGCTTGAACTCAAGGCCTGGGTGCCGTCCCTGAGCTCTTTTGCTCAAGGCTAGCTCTCTACTACTTTGAGCCACGGTTCCACTTCTGGTTTTCTGGTGGTTCATTGGAGATAAGAATTTCACAGACTTTCCTGCTGGGGCTGGCTCTGAACCATGATCCTCAGATCATAGTCTAAGTAACTAAGACTATAGGCATGAGCCACCAGCACCCAGCTCTGTGTGTGTGTGTGTGTGTGTGTGTGTGTGTGTGTGTGTGTGCGCGTGTGCGCGTGCGCATGTGGTATTGATATCAAGGCTTGAACTTGGGGCCTCATGTTTGCTTTCTTGGCTGGCACTCTGCCACTTGAGCCACTCCTCCATCCCTGCTTTTTGCCAGTTACATTGGAAATGGGAGTCTAGTGACCTTTTCCACCCAGGCTGGCCTCAAACCACTGTTTTGTGATCTCATCCTCCCAGTAGCTTGGGTGACAGGTGTGAGCCACTGGTACCTGGACACATTCACTTTTTTTTTAATCTGAAATTTGAAACCAGGGGGTTATTGGCTCGATCTGTTCACCTGCTCTATGAGCGGTGAAATGAAGAGTAAGAAGATGAACGTCTGGGAGGAATCTGGTCTTACAGATGACTAGGGACTCACCCAGGGCCATGGTTGTTAGTGTCAGAGCTGGGATTTGAACCCAGGTCCTGATCCTCGCAGTCTTGAGTTCACCATTGTACCAGGAAGCCCCCTGCCCCCGGCTGCCTACAAGTGTGGCCTCCTTGAGTCTGAGTCCTCCCTGCGGTGCGTAGCTCCTCCCCTGACACCCGACCCCAGCCCTCAGGCCTCTGATGGCGTCTGTGCCCTCTGTCCCCAGCTCCTGGGACCCTCTGCCCTCACCGCCATCGCTGTCTTCCTGATCCTCCTACCCCTGAACTTCTTCATCGCCAAGAAGCGCAGCCACCATCAGGTATGGCGGTGTCTGGGAGCAGGAACAGCGGCCAGTACAGCGCAGGGAGGAGCCTAAGGCCCTTGGGTCCTGGGTGGTGCCAGAAATAGAAGGGGAGAGGCAGGCGCGGGGCCAGGTTCTGTGACTGTCCACCTGCTCCAAGGCCGTCTCCAACCTGGACACTTCTCCACGGTGCCACTGGGTGGCGCCATAGCCACACACATGAACCCACGGGTCCACTCTGTTCCTAGTATTAGAAGAGCTCTGAAACTGGGGGAAACTGAGGCCCACAGACCGGACGTGAGGTGGGAGCTGTCTAGAGAAGGGACCCAAATGACTGCTGGAAGAATCTATTGCTAAATAACTTAGGGATCATTTGCCCCTACCTCTACATCTTCCACGGCAGCGGGACAGAGCTGCCTCAGTATCCCAAAACTGGGGGGGGGGTTGCAGGGGGGCAGAAGGGGAGGGGCGTGGAAGGATCCAGACCCAGCACGAGGCATCTTGGGAAGCCAGCCGCCCCGCTGTCACCGACTCCCCGCTTCCGCTCCCAACCCCCGTGGGCCAGCCTGAAAACACATGGGACAGAGGCGTCACCTCGGCTCAGGCCTGCAGAGACCCCATCTTACTCAGTGTCCCGAGTGACCCACGGGGCTCCCGTGGCGGGGCTCAGGCAGGCTCTAGCAGCACCCAGGAGGTGCTCGGTGCCCAGCTGTGAACTAAGGAGGGAGGGGGAGGGGTGGGCCCGGCTCCCCCCCCCACCGCCCTGCCCACCGGTTACCTGGGCCCTGTGTGACCTCCTCTAAGACATTCCAGGCAGCGGCCACACACACACAGGGTGTGAGGGTCCCCCGGTCCCCAGTCCAGCTGGGATCCGCCCTCTCTTCCCCACTGAACCCCACTGTCTTCTGGGTGTCCAGGCTGCATGGACTCCTATAGAGGCCCCGCTGCCCGCCTTGTGTGCCCATCCACAGGGCCTGGCAGTGGCGGGGTGGCTCTCTAGATCAGGACACAGCCCAGGCCTCTGGGCCTCCACCTCCGGGAAGTCCACAGGGCAGGCGGGGGGGGGGGGGCGGAGGCCGTCCCCCTCCTGATGGGACAGGGCTGGCTGGGACGTCTGCCGGGGCCGGGGGCTGTGTGGTGGCCGCAGGCTCTAGGCCTAGCGGGTCTGTGCTTGGGTCCCAGGAGGAGCAGATGAGGCAGAAGGATGCGCGCGCGCGGCTCACCAGCGCCGTCCTGAGCACGGTGCGGACCATCAAGGCCCACGGCTGGGAGGAGGCGCTGGCCGAGCGGCTGCTGCGCCTGCGCGCCCGCGAGCTCGGCGCCCTGCGCACGTCCGCGCTGCTCTTCTCCGTGTCCCTGGTGTCCTTCCAGCTCTCCACGTTTCTGGTGACGTCACGGGGTGGGGGGGGATGGACATGGGGGGCGTGGCTGCAGGGCTCCCCACACAGCCCGGCCCCGGGCCCGTGTCCACCTCGCCCTGTGTCCCCAGGTGGCCCTGGCCGTGTTTGCCGTGCACACGCTGGTGGCCCAGGACAGCGCCATGGACGCGGAGAAGGCCTTCGTGACCCTCACGGTGCTGGGCGTCCTCAACAAGGCTCAGGCCTTCCTGCCCTTCTCGGCCCACTGCATCGTCCAGGCGAGGCTGGGGGGGGGAGGGGGGGAGGCTGGACCCCACGGGGGGGGGGGGGGGAGGCTGGGACTGATGGAACGGAGTCGTCAGGCCGGTGGGTGGCTTGGAGACCCACAGGAAATACTCACAACTATGCCAGGATGCTGCCCGCTGCCTTCCTCACCGAGAACCAGGCAGCCTCTGCCGTGACCTCTCTAGCCCTTCCTGCCATGCATCCCCGGGTTCCACGAAAACCAACTGCCTGTTGAGTTTGTTGATTGATTGATTGTCAGTCATGGGGCTTGAACTCTGGGCCTGGGCGCTGTCCCTCAGCTCTTCAGCTCAAGGCGAGCGCTCTACCACTTGAGCTACAGCGCCACTTGCGGTTTTCTGGTGGTTCATGGGAGAGAAGAGTCTCATGGACTTTCCTGCCCGGGCTGGCTTTGAACCGAGAGTCTCAGATCTCAGCCTCCTGAGTAGCTAGGATTACAGGCGTGAGCCACAGGTGCACTCAGCTTGTGGGTTTTTTTTTTCCTTCCTTCCTTCCTTCCTTCTTTCCTTCCTTCCTTCCTTCACTTCTTTGTTTCGAGTGTGAGTATGTACATGCATGTATTTGTGCACCTGCGATGGTCCGGGGACTTGAACTTAGGGCCTGTGTGCTGTCCCTGAGCTGTTTTTGTTCAAGGCTAGTTCTCTACCACTGGGGCCACGGCTCCACTTCCGGCTTTTTGGTGACTAATTGGAAATAAGGGTCTCACAAACTGGCCTGGGCCAGCTTCAAACGGTGACCAGCAGATCTCAGCCTCCCAAGTAGCTAGGATGTCAAGGCGTGAGCCGCCTGTGTTTTAATGGCTGCTCCTCAAACCTCCCCAGAGGAGCGTCTGGTTGGGATCCAAGAGGGCGCCCCCTGGTGGACCAGGTCTGCGGTGGTTGGAAACTTCCTCCACCCTGCAGTACAAGGCGTGTGCTGGTGCCTCACGCAGCCTAGGCCTCAGTCGTCAGGACTTGGTTGCCTCCGGACGCCGGGTCCCGTGCCTGTCCCTGGGTGACGCCCCTGCCCTCCACAGGCCCGCGTGTCCTTGGGCCGCCTGGCTGCCTTTCTCTGCCTGGAAGAGATCGAGCCTCTCGCCGTCGACGCGAGTCCTCCCAAGAGCTGTGAGTTCTGCCCAGGCCCAGGCGCCGAGGGGCGGCCACGTGGGGGGCCACGGCTGATGTTCTGGGTGGAGAGGGAGGGGGACAGGAAGGCTGGAGTCGCTAGTCAACATGACAGAGGTCAGCTGGGCACTCACGCCTGGAATCCTAGCTACTCTGGAGGCTGGGATCTGAGGATCCAGGGTCGAAGCCAGCCCAGGCAGGAAAAGTCTGTGCGGCTCTTATCTCCAATGAACCACCAGAGAACCAGAAGTGGCACTGTGGCTCAAGTGGTAGAGCGCTTGAAGAGCTGAGGGACAGCGCCCAGGCCCAGAGTTCAAACCCCTGGAGGCACCATAAAAGACAGAGAGGGAAGCTGGGGAGAGAGAGGTAGGGAAAGAAGGGAAGAGAAATAGAGAGGAGAGAGAGAGGGTGGGAGGGAGGGAGAGGAAGAGGAAGAGAAAGGGAGAGAAAGAAGAAGAAAGAGATCAGAGTTATGCGCATCACTGTAGAGTGATTGAGCTGCTCCCCTCCCCGCCCTGCCCACTGCCACTTCCACCCGTGGGTTCGGTATTGTTCACCATTGTCAGCAGGCCTGGTTCCCACTCTGCATCAGCACAAACCATCTAACTGGCACTCCATCTGGTATTTGTTTTGACTGGGATATCTGGTCGACCTCTCATCTAGTGTTGATCTTTTGTGGGTGGTGGCGGTCATGGGGCTTGAACTCACATCCTGAGCCCTGCCCTGAGCCTTTTGCTCAAGCCTAGCATAATCTACCACTTGAGCCACAGCACCCCTTGTGGCCTTTTGATGCTTGATTGGAGATGAGTCTCATGGACTTTCCTGCCCAGGTTTGGCTTTCAACCACTGTCCTCAGATCCCAGCTTGCTGGGTAGCTAGGTTTACAGGCACAGGCTACCGGTGCCCAGCTATTAGTTTGTGTGTGAGATAGAGTTTTGTGCTTTTGTCCCGGCTGGCCTTAGACTCCAATCCTTCTACCTCTACATCTAGAGTAGCTGGGATTACAGGCATGTACCCCAATGCCCGGCTTGTGTTTTAGAGCTGTTCTCAAGATGGTTATTTTTAGCCTAAGTGTCTTTTATGCAGTATCTGAGGAAATCCTACCACACAATCATTTCTGTTTACTGAGGTTAGGATTTAACTGCGCAACCTGAGTTTTGTGGGGTGTCCTCCCTGGAGACCCTCCAGCCTGGGGAAGATCAGAGGTTCTTTTTTCACCAGGCAGAAGAGCTAAGAACTGTAGGCGCCCAGCCCCCAGTGCTGACAGACACGCATTTAACGCATTTGCACTGAGTCATGAAGAGCCTTGTCTTTCACGAAATCTCCCAGGTGATTCTAAACAGAGGCTCAGGACAGAGCATTGTCCCGGTAACATCTGTGCCTCAAAGATTTGTCCAAATTCTAATGTCCCCTTGGCTTGCTCAAGCCCCAGATTGGACGATAATCACACGGGGAGTCGTCTGGCTGTTCCTGTGAGGGACGGGGCTGTAGCCGTTCCAGGCTGGTGGCCCACGCGGTCCTCGATGCCGCCATCTTAGCGTGACATCAGCCCTTCCGTGAATGAGCGTGGCTGTGTTTCAATAAAACTTTATTGACAAAAACAGGCAACAGGCAGGGGTTGGCCCTTGGGTTGTGGCTCACCTGTCTCTGAAGCACACAGCCACAGGGCCGCTCCAGCCCCCCGCCCCATCCCCCGGCACCAGGGCAGGTGTCCCAGAGATGGGGTGCGGGGTCTTAGAGACAGAGAGGCAGCAGCAAAGCAGCCTTGTGCCCGTGCTGTGCCTTGCAGCCGCCCCGAAGGACTGCATCGTCGTGCGCGACGGCAGCTTCACCTGGTCCCGGGAGAGCCCAGCCTGCCTGCACAGGTATCCGGGGTCCCCGGGGAGGGAGCGGGTGCCCGGGCCCGTGGAGCCTGACGTATCCAGCCTGCTGTGGAAGGTGGCACCACGCAGGGCCGCAGCCCAGCCAGGGGCTCGGGCAGACTCAAGCCCTGCGGGCGGCATAGCGGGCAAGCCAATTCCTCTGCCCTGTTAGGGGGAGACGCCCTCGGCCCTGCAGCTGGGGTGGGGGTGGGGGGCGCTCAGCAGCTCACCCACTCTGTGCCTCCTCATCTCCAGCCCCCAACTATTTTTTATCTTTTTGGTCAGTCGTGGGGCTTGAACTCGGGGCCTGGCGCTGTCCCTCAGCTCTTCAGCTCAAGCCCAGCGCTCTACCACTTGAGCCACAGCGCCACTTCCTGTTTTCTGGTGGTTTATTGGAGATAGGAGTCTCACGGATTTTCCTGCCCAGGCTGGCTTTGAACCATGATCCTCAGATCTCAGCCTCCTGAGTGGCTAGGATGACGGGCGTGAGCCACCGGCATCGGGCTAGCCCCCAACTTTACAGCTGAGTCTTTGTACCCAAAAAAAATCCCAACCCGTGCCCCCCCTAGCTCCCTGAGAAGGGGAAGGACACAGAACGCCAAGGGTACAAGGAAGGGGAGATGTGAGCTGTCGATGGGGGCCTTTGAACAGCAGGCAGTGGGCAGTGCAAAGGTCCTGAGGTCAGTTTCTCAGTCTCAGCGCGGATGCAGGCTGGGCCATGTAACCAGGGAATCGTCTCCTTTGGGCTCCCAGGATCCACCTCTCCGTGCCCCAGGGCTGCCTGCTGGCTGTGGTGGGGGCGGTGGGGGCGGGGAAGTCCTCCCTGCTCTCCGGCCTCCTGGGGGAGCTGAAGAAGATAGATGGGTCCGTGAGCATCAAGGTGAGGCGGCCCTGCCCGGCCCCGGCCGCTAAGATGGCCCCGTCCTTCCCCGCCCCGCGTCTCCCCTTCACAGCCAGGGTCCCTGCCCCTCCCCCCCCCTCCCCGGCCCCCCTGCTCTGCTGAGCCCTCACCTGCCCGTCTCAGGGCCCCGTGGCGTACGTGCCCCAGGAGGCCTGGGTCCAGAGCACCTCTGTCCTAGAGAACGTGACCTTCGGGAAGGAGCTGGACCTGCCGTGGCTAGAGAAGGTTCTAGAAGCCTGTGCCCTGGGGCCGGACCTGAGCAGGTTCCCGGATGGAGTCCACACCTTGATCGGGGAGCAGGTGAGGCCCGGGGCCCTCAGGGGACAGGGAGGCTTTGCCCAGGGGGGCCGTGACCCCTGACCCCCCAGTGCAGGGGTCCAATGGGAGCAGGTGCTCCCATTGTTCATGGTGAGTGAAGGGAACGAGGTTAACATGCTTCTGTGGCAGCTCAGACCCGGGGCCGGCGCTGCCCGGCTGGGTGGCATTAGTCAGATCGCCTCCTCACCCCCGGCCTCCCTCACCGGAGCATCTCAGCAGAAGCCATGGCTAGGCTTCCGCAATGCCCGCACCCACGCCCGGCCCTCTGCTTGTTTTTGTAAATAAAGTTTTATTGGGACACCGCCGGGTCCGTTCATTTACCTGTGGGCCACGCCTGCGATGTCCACTCCCCAGATCAGGGCTGAGCGCTGGCGACAGACAGCCCACGGCCCGCAGCCCCCCGTGGCTGCTCCGGCCTTTCCCAGGGGAGGCTTGCCAAGGAGGAGACCCCCAGCAAAGGGACGCAGGAGCCCCCTAGGGAGGAGCGGTCCAGGGGACGCCTCCGAGCCCCCGGTGTGGACCAGGGAGCAGAGGGAGGGAGGAGAGGCAGGCGAGGCCCAGGGATCTCGGTGGCACCGGCCCTGCCCACACACACTTTCCCTGGAGTCCTGGACACGGCTGGGCAGAGAGTGTCCGTGCAGTGAGGAGTAACTGAATGAATGAATGAATGAATTGAAAAGTGACCCCAGGGAATGAAAGGGTACAAGAGCCGAGCGGCGGGGAGGGTGGAGAGACTGGAGCGCGGGCAGCTCCTCCGGGCACCGCAGACTGGAAGGGCAAAGGCTGGCGGGGGTGCTTCTCAGAGGACGGGCACCCCGAGTGGCCCCGGCCCGATGTATCTCTGACCTGCACACCCAGTCTTTCCAACAGCTATGGATGGACTCAAGTTCCTGCTCCTCTCTCTGCCCCCCCCCCCCCCCGCCCGCCCCAGGGCATGGACCTGTCAGGGGGCCAGAAGCAGCGGCTGAGCCTGGCCCGGGCTGTGTACAGGAAAGCCGCCGTGTACCTGCTCGATGACCCCTTAGCCGCCCTGGATGCCCACATCAGCCAGCACGTCTTCACCCATGTCATCGGGCCCGGCGGGCTGCTTCAGGGAACCGTAAGTTTGGGCACAAGTGCTAGCCAGGTGTCCCAGGGGAGGACAGAGGAAGCCCTGAGCACTTGTCTACCCCGGCCGCTCAGCTCCTCAGGCACCACTGGACTTTGTATTGGTCAGCTTTTGCTGGGGCAATGCCGTGTACCAAATAACCCCACCTCTACCACCACCGCCCCGTGCTTCGATCTCAGTGGCGCACAGCAGCACTTAATCCTTGCTTGGGAGCTTGTTCTCAACCTCGTACAATGTTCTCATTTCAGGAGGGCGGAGAAGCGATCAGCGTTCTGGCAGAAAGCCAGGAAATAGTCGTGTGTGTGTGTGTGTCTGTGTGTGTGTGTGTGTGTGTGTGTGTGTAACTTCCTCTCCCCCCTCCACCCAGACCAGGGTGCTGGTGACCCACGCGCTCCACGTCCTGCCCCAGGCTGATCAGATCGTGGTGCTGGCGGACGGGGCCATCGCAGAGATGGGCTCCTACCAGGAGCTTCTGCAGAGGAACGGCGCCCTGGTGGACTTGCTGGATGGAGCCAGACAGCCTGGAGGCAGAGACGGCGGCGCTGGAGGAGGAGGTACTGGGTGGGCGTTGCTGAGTCTCTGTGGCAGGTGCCTGAGTCTCACCTACCCTGCAGGCCCAGGCCCGACACCACGGGCGTAGACAGAGCGTCGCCTCCCCCAGGCACGAGCCGAGGCCACGCGCCGTGTCCCTGCTCCTCACCACCCCTCTAAGACGAGAGCAATCTCGGCTGCCATTTCACAGGGGAGCGGGAGGATGCCCCGGAGCACGCTGAGTCATTCGCTCAGGGCTACCCATTAGAACTTGGTGTTCAAACCCAGAGTCTCTGCCCGCAGCTGTGACAGAGTTTAATAAGCCAGGAGCACTTTGGTGTCTCGAAGGCTGCCCCACACCAGGCCAAGCTAGTGATAATCCAGAGGATTTAAGTCTGCTGGATACTCAGGAAGGTTCTAGAAGGTTCTAGAAGATTTGGGGTGGGGGGACGAGGGAAGTACCAGGGATGTACCTCACATCCATTAGCTCATTGAAACATTTTACAACATCTTTAAGGTTTGGGAGCCTAGCTGCCTCCGTTTTACAAGTGGGGAAACTGAGGCCTGAAAGCAGTCCATGGTTATGCATATGGGTATGGGTAAACTGAGCTCCACGTGGACCCAAACAGCTTGCTTTTTTTAGCCAAAACACTTTATGGCATCTTTCCTTGACAGAGCAAGGACTTGCCTAAGTGGCTCTAGTCTTGGGTTCCACCTTTCTCTGGAAACACCTCAGCCCTGGTCCACCTTCATCAGAACTCTAAAGGTCACTATCTTGGAGATTAAAAGTTAGAAGTCACCTGTGTGTATCAGTCAGCTTTATGCTGTGATGCTGCCACATAACAAACAGCCCCCAAATCTCTGTGGTTCATAGTGGTGACAGTTGTTTGTTTGTGGGTCTGTGGCTTGGGGGTGGCTGACCCAGCCTGGGAAGCAGTGAGCGGTGGAGAAGGTCTCTCCCGGAGAAGACGGCACTTGAAGTTGGGTGTGAGTCACCCAGGAAAGAACCTTCTAGGCATAAGAAATTGTTGGAGGGGCTGGGAAGGTGGCTCAAATGGTAGAGCGCTCGCCTTGAGCTGAAGAGCTGAGGGACAGCGCCCAGGCCCAGAGTTCAGGCCCCACGACCGGACAAAAAAAAAAAAAAAAAGAAATTGTTGGAGCAGGGTGATGGTTACAATGGTGAGAGATGTCAAATCCAGCGTCTAGACCCCACACCCCCCCATCTTGTCCCCACACACTGTGTGATGGAACCCCTTGATCTTGCAGACATGGACCCCCCCGTGGCCGGTGCTGGTGACCCTGGAAGCTGCCCTAGAGTCCAGGGACCCGAGCACAGACCCGAGAGGTGAGTTCTTGGGGTGCCCAGCACAGGGAGGGCAGGGCACCTGCCCCCACCTGCTCCGTGCGGGTGATTCTCCAAAACCAACATGCCAGTTGACTGGCCCAATGGTGCAGGGCCCCGGACTGCCTGTCCACCGCGGGCACAGTGCGCTTCTACCATGACACATGCCCGCGGCGCGCCAAGGACACCGTCAGGGCTGTCTCCCCGCCAGAGCAGCCGGGCAGGCTGCCACCAAGGCCGCTCACCTCGGCGGTCAGTACCCGCAGAGGCCGGTGCTTTGACGGGCAAGAGAGACAAAGGCCTGGAGGCTTCCACACCTGAGCTGTTGCAGGCTGCATCAGGGTGTGGTGCCCTACCACGGAGCCCCCCGGTCCTTGTCACGTGGGCCTGTGACACAGCCATGGACCGCCACAGTGTGGGCCGGAGCACCAGCTGTTGCAGAGGGATGAGAAGAGGGACCTGGAGCGGGTTTTGTTCTTGGAGATAGGCTGAGGACAGATCCTCCAGGTCTGCTCTGCTAGCCCCAGCCAAGCATGGGTGCTCTAGGGTCCTGAGTAAGATCAGCAGCGACAGATGGATGGATGGATGAATGGATGGATGGATGGATGGATGGGTGGATGATGGATGGATGGATGGATGGATGGATGGATATGAAAATGGGTGGATGGATGGGTGATGGATGAGTGAATGGATAGATAGGAAGATGGATTGATGAATGGATAAATGGATAGATGGGTGAATGGATGGATGAACATGAAAATGGATGGATAAGTGGGTGGGTGGGTGGATGGATGGATAGGTGGGTGGGTGGGTAGGTACAAAGATGGATGGACGGATAGATGGGTGAATGGATGAGTGGATGGATGGATGGATGGATGGTTGGGAACATAGATGAGTGGATGGATGGTGGATAGACGGGTGGATGGGTAGATGGATGGATGGATGGATAGGTAAATGGATGAATAGGAGAATGGATGGTGGATAAATGGGTGGATCAACAAACTGATGGATGATTTATTATCTAAAAATGATAGGTGGCAAATTGATGGGCATATAATAAGTCAACAGCAAATATATGATAGATAAGGGCTGGAGGTGTGGCTCAAGTGGTAAAGCACCTGCCTAGCCAGCACTAAACTCTGAGTTCAAACCTTAGTACTGCAAAAGAAATGAGTATAACACATGAAAGATAGTAGAAGATAGATACTGTCCCCATTTTTATTTTTTGCCAGTCCTGAGGCTTGAACTTGGGGCCTGTGCACTGTTCCTGAACTTCTTTTGCTCAAGGCTAGCGCTCTACCACTTCAGCCACAGAGCCACTTCCATGTTTTCTGTGTTTTTATTGGAGGTCAGAGTCTCACGGCCTTTCCTGCCTAGGCTGGCTTCAAACTGCGATTCTCAGATCTCAACCTCCAGAGTAGCAAGGATGACAGGCGAGAGCCCATTTTTAATAGCGGGGAGGTGGAGGCATACAAGCAGCTAAATCCCTGCACACATGCGCAGGTGAAAGGAACATTGGAGAAGTCTTTAGCATCTGAATTGTGCCAAATTGACCATGTGACCTGACAGGTCAGAGGGTAAACAATGCAACACTTAGGCCCCAGTGGCTCTTCGGAAAACCAAGCTGTGGGGTTGTTCGGGGGTGGGTGAGAGATGGCTGACGCAGAGCCAGGCAGCATGCTGGGAGGAGCAGGTGTCTTTAGGAAGGAGGGAACCGGGGTCAGTGGTGACCAGCTGGCCTGAGAGCTTGGTCCTGCCCCGTGGGGGGAGGACCCTGAGCCATTTTTCCTCCAAACGACAGGTACACAACGTCAGCGCCCGCGGGGGTCGGCACCCACTCGGAAGGCCCAGCGGGGGCCTGTCTAGATGACCCGCAGGGGGCCAGAGGGCCGGGAGGAGAGGCCAGCACGCAGTATGGACGGGTAACTCACCAGGGCCCCGGCCACCCCCGGGCCAGCTCCCCCAGCAGGCCAGACACAGGGCTGCGAACTCCCCTTGACCGAGTACCTACCATGTGCCAAACAAGATGCCAACCCTCACCACCCTAAAATAATGGGTGGACACGATCCACTTAGAGACGAAGCATCGAGTCAACGCACGAGACAAGGGACTCCCAGCACGCAGGCCTAGCTCCATCCGGGTCCCTGGGCCACTCCTCGTCTTCCATGTTGACTCCTCCCCCCACCCCCCCACCCCCGCTCACCCTACCTCTCCATCCAGCACCCACCCACCCACCAGTCCAGGTTCTCAACTGTCCACTCATCCGTCCGTCTGCCTGGCCATCTGGCCATCTACCCATCCACCTACTTATTCATCAGTCTGTCTGTCCAACCATCTATTTGTTAACTCATCCATTGTTACACCCACCTACAAGACATTTTCCATCCATTCACCCACCCACTCATCCATACATGTCTGCCTGTCTATCCCATCATCCATCATCTACCCAAATATCTACTCCTTTATCCATCCACAACCTATCCATCCATTCCTCCATCTGTTCTTCTAGCCATGTACTCATTCATGCATCCATCAATCCATCTACTCATCCATCCATTCATCCATAAATGTCTACCCATCTACCCAATCCATGTCAGCTGCCCAACCATATACTCATTTATCTGTCCATCTACAACCCATTCATCCATTCCTCCATCCATCCATGTACTCATCCATCCATCCATCTACCCATCTGTCAATCCATCCACTTATCAATCCATCCATTCATCCATGTACTCAGCCATCCATGTACTCAGCCATCCATCAATCCATTGACCCATCCATCCATCCATCTATCCATCCATCCATCTATCCATCTATCCACCCACCCACCCACTTGTCCATCCATCTACACATCCATCCCCTCATCCATCCATCCATCCATCTCATTCTCATAAACACCTTTGCTTCAAAACCAGACTGTCATCTTCAGACTTCCAAGGGCTCACTGGGAGGATTATGGCAGAAGTGGGGGAGGGGAGCGTCCTGAAGGGTCCCAGGGGAGACGCTGCTCCCGATGGGAGGCCCGGGGAGGTGGACCAGGCCTGCATGGCGCCCCCTCTGCCCCGTTGGTGTGGATTTGGGAGCTTTGCCCGGCCCGGCCCTGATTCACCCCCCTCTTGCCCATCTCTCTGTCGCTCTGTGCCTGGCACGTTCTACAGGTGAAGGCTGCCACCTACCTGGTGTACCTGCGGGCCATGGGCACGCCGCTGGGCCTCTACACCCTCCTCCTCTTCTTCAGCCAGCAAGTGGCCTCCTTCTGCCAGGGCTACTGGCTGAGCCTGTGGGCAGATGATCCAGTGGTGGACGGGCGGCAGACGCAGGCCGCCTTGCGTGGCTCTGTCTTTGGGGTCCTCGGCTGTCTCCAAGGTACCCCCCATCCCCTGCCCCCATCCACTCACAGATGGGGGCTCCTGGATGTCCTGCGGGGGACCTTCAGAGCCTCCAACCTCTAGAGAGAGCCCGGCCCCTGCCAAACACACATGCCTGCCACCACCCAGTCCCTTCTCCTTTACTTCTGTGCCAGTCCCAGGACTGGAACTCAGGGCCCGGGCACTGTCCCTGAGCTTTTTGTCCCTCGCTCGCTTTACCCCTTGAGCCACAACTCCACGTCTGGCTTTTTGGTGGTTAGTCGGAGATCAGAGTCTCACAGACCTTTCAGGCCTTGAACTATGATCCTCAGATCTCAGCCTCCAGAGGATGACGAGCGTGAGCCACCAGCTCTGGGTCTGTGACTGGACCCCAGAGATCGGAATTAGCTATCACCCCAAATCCAGGGTGACCCTATTTCCAAACAAGGTTCACATGCCGAGGTTCTGGGTGGTTCCCCGACCTCCCCCCAGGCTGGCGGGGGCCCCTGCCGAGGGTGAAGCAGGGCTCGGCCGGCCTCACGCCCTGACACCCCCCCCTCCCGGTCCTCCTCAGCCATCGGGCTGTTTGCCTCCATGGCAGCCGTGCTCCTGGGAGGGATCCGGGCATCCAGGCTGCTCTTCCGCTCGCTCCTTTGGGACGTGGTGCGTGCTCCCATTGCCTTCTTCGAGCGGACGCCTCTCGGGCACCTTCTGAACCGCTTCTCCAAGGAGACGGACACAGTGGACGTGGACATCCCAGACAAGCTCCGGTCCCTGCTCACGTTCGCCTTCGAGCTCTTGGAGGTCGGCCTGGCCGTGTCCATGGCCACGCCGCTCGCCATCGTGGCCATCCTGCCTCTGATGGTCCTCTATGCCGGCTTCCAGGTAGGAGGAGGCCGGGAGGTTCCTTGGGCCAACTGAGGTAGCGTAGCTGTGCCAGGCCCCAGGCTCGGGGCAGGTACCGAGGGGCGGCCTCTTGAAGCCTCCCCAGGGCCAGAGACACCAGGGTGTCTGTCTCCCAAGGTCCATGTCAAAGCTTTTTTCAACAGTCAGGCATGGTAACACCCACCTGTAATCCCAGCACTAGGGAGGCTAAGGCATAACATATCCAGTTTGAGGTCAGCCTAGCTACAAAGTGAGGTCTTCAGAGCAAAATTCTCCTTAATAGCTGTGTGTGTGTGTGTGTGTGTGTGTGTGTGTGTGTGTGTGTGTGTGTGTGTGTGTGTGTGTGTGTGTGTGTGTGTGTGTCCTGGAGCTAGAACTCAGGGCCTGGATGCTGTCCTTTTGCTCAAGACTAGTGCTCTACTACTTGAAAAACCGCTCCATGGTCAGCTTTTTTGGCAGTTAATTGGAGATAAGAGTCTCAGGGATTTTCCTGCCCAAGCTGGCTTCAAACTGCGCTCCTCAGATCTCAGCCTCCTAAGTAGCTAGGATGACAGGTGTGAGCCACCGGTGCCTGGCCAATAGCTGATCTTTTATGCTACTGCTGCGGCTTCTTCCTTTCCAATTCTCTGAATGCTAAGGAAGTGTTGCAAGGTCTCAAAGATTCTGGTATTAAGCCAGGGCCTGAGAAGGGCTGAAATCAACCTTAAAAAAAAAAGAACGTGTGGGAGTGGCAGTGTACACCTGTAAATTTCAGTTCCCAGGAGTTGGGTGCTAGAGATGGAGAGTTCTGGACCAGCCTGCGCTGCACAGTGATGGGAAAGAGACAGACAGACAGTGAATGTAATGTCTTCCATTTCTGGAGTCCGCAGCCTGGCTGACACCGTCCATGTATTTGGTAGATCTCAAAATGTGGCCAGGACCTGCAGGAGCAGCAGCGATCACTTGGGGACCTCACCACCCTTGAGAAGGGGGTTCTAGCTCGTTAAACAGCTCCAGCACAGATGGGCATTTGAGAACCCGTGGCTTAGCCCTGCTCAGCCTGCTTTTGCAAACAGATCCTCAGCATCGATCCTGGGCTCTCGCTGTAGCAAACCCCACAAACAGAAACTCCTCCAGCACAGTGTTCTTGTTGTTTTTGGCCAGTCCTGGGCCTTGAACTCAGGGCCTGGGCACTGTCCCTGAGTTCTTTTTGCTCAAGGCTCGCGCTCTACCACTTGAGCCACAGCACCATGTCTGGCTTTTTCTGTGTATGTGGTACTGAGGAATCGAACCCAGGGCTTCCCACATGCTAGGCAAGCCCTCTACCACCAAGCCACAATCCCAGTCCCCAACTCAGTGTTCCTGGAGCAATCCCAGGGACGGTTGTGGTGGGTCCTTTATAAGTCATGGGCCCTCCCCTGAGCCAGTCAGACACACCCAATGCTGAGGATGCTCTGACTGGCTAAGCTGGGTCACGTGACCACTTGTAGGCTTGGGTCTCATCACGGACATCGCCGCCTTCTCCCACGGGAGAGCAGAAGTGGGAGGGAAGCGCTGTGCCTCACAAACTGCTCCAGCTCTTCTCTAAAACTCGGACCCGGGGGACGCATGTCTTCTGTCATGGGCTCTGGGCTCAGGCAGAGGTGGCTTTGAATCCAGGCCGGCCGCTTACTGTAGAGACCGGAGCCTGGAGAAGCGAACTGGGCCCAAGGTCCCACAGCAAGCGGATGGCCAAGACCCGGAAGCTGCCTCAGTGTGTCCGCCTTCTCCCCCCCCCCCCCTGCACCCCGCGCCCCGCCTCAGAGCCTGTACGTGGCCACCGCGTGCCAGCTGCGGCGTCTGGAGTCGGCCAGCTACTCCTCCGTGTGCTCCCACCTGGCCGAGACGTTCCAGGGCAGCGCCGTGCTCCGGGCGTTCGGAGCCCAGGGCCCCTGCGTGGCGCGGAGCGACGCGCTCGTGGACGCGAACCAGAGGGTCAGTTTCCCACGACTGGTGGCTGACAGGTAGGAGCTGGGGGGCAGCAGAACCCATTTGTGTTCACAGATGAGGCCATGCTGGCTGGAGAGGCCCAGATGACCCCCAAAGTCACACCGCACATGGGGTGGGGGGAGAATAAGTCCAGAACCCACAAACAGCAGCAGCCTCAATCTCCTTTGTTGTCCAAGAACAGTAAGGCGAATTTCTGAGCTGATAGAAACAGGTTCAACTTTTACCCCGGCCACCTGCCTCGCTGATTGATCCTGCATTAAAGAAATTAACCTCTCTGAGCATTATGTGTCAGAACATTCAGCAAGTGCCTACTGTGCCAAGTACCAGTGGCTCACGCATGTAATCCTAGCTACTCAGGAGGCTGAGATCTGAGGATCACGGTTCAAAGCCAGCCTGGGCAGGAAAGTCCGTGAGACTCTTATCTCCAATGAACCACCAGAAAACCGGAAGTGGCGCTGTGGCTCAAGTGGTAGAGCACTCGCCTTGAGCTGAAGAGCTGAGGGACAGCGCCCAGGCCCAGAGTTCAAGCCCCACAACTGACCAAAAAAAAAAAAAAAAAAGGAAAAGAAAAGAAAGTGCCTACTATGTGCCAAGCTCCCTGATTTCCGTGCTACAGGCGGTGCATTGCATTTAATCCCCAGCTGTCACCAGCCTGGGGTAGATGGGCAGACTGGGTGGTTAGAGGAGGAAGAGGACTTCCCCTAAGCTAGCCACTGAAGATGATGAACCCTCACTTTTTTGTTTCCTTGGTACTGGGAAGCTTTTGTGCTCATGTGGTGCCCAGTAGGTTTGGCTTAAGCAGGGTCAACTTCTTGGTCTCAGTTCCCTCATCGGTTGCCTGGGAACGATGCCAGCCTCTTGTTGGAACAAGATATTATGTGCCAAGCCCGGGGCCTCCGCAGAACAGGTTTTCATCTGCTTGATTTGCTGCCAGTGCCCCCAACACCTCCCTTGGTGTCTGAGTGAACGAACGAATGAATGAATGAGTGGTAGATCAGGACATCAGGGAGAGCTCCTGAATTAGGTGCTGGGGATGGAGCCCCGCCCCCAGCCCAGTGGCGCCCAATGGCAACGAGGCAGCCACAGACCAGGTGACCTGGCTGGGGAAACCCGCGGGGAGGGAGGCCATCCATGGTGCTGGGTCCCAAGGTGAGGCGCAGTCAGGTTAGGCCGTGGAGGAGGTGACCTTGGAGTGGCCCTGTGTGAAGATGTTGACCCCGTGAGGGTCAGGCTGAGGCGGGCAGGAGACACAGCCTGGCACCTCCAGGGCCGGCAGAGCTGCGCCAAGCACCAGGCATGTGCCAGGGCCCCATGGGGGGGGAGGGGGGAGGGGGGAGGGGTCCACCACCACTCCTTAGCTCGGGTGGGAGGGGGCCGTGCTGGGTCCCCCAGACTATACTGAGCTTCCAGTCCTTGAGCGCAGGAAAAGGGGGGGTCCTGGCAGATGAGGGACCCCTGCGTACCCGCTTCTCTTCGCAGGTGGCTGGCGGCGAACCTGGAGTTCCTGGGGAATGGCCTGGTGTTCGTGGCCGCCGTGTGTGCAGTGCTGGGCAAGGACCACCTCCGTGCCGGCCTGGTGGGCTTCTCCATCTCCGCCGCCCTCCAGGTACCCCCGCCCCCGCGCCCTCTCCCCACATCAGCTGGGGGGGGCAGAGCAGAGGCAGCGGAGTTTCAGGCTGGGGTGCAAACCGTGTGGCTGAGTGTGTGCTGGGCAGGCCCCGGCCCGTGCCAGCCCCGGCTCTGAGCACAGCAGAGCCACGTTTCCATGCTGTTATCTATAGGTCTCGGTGTCTGCGGGCGGCGCGTGCGCAGGCAGCATTGCTCTAAAGCTGCGCGAACAGTAACCGCGTCCTGCTGTGGTCTGAGCCAGCGTGGAGAAGCAGAGCCCGCGCTCTGCTTGACGTTAGCTGAGTTGACGTTAGCTGAGTCAACCGGAAGACCCCTCCACAGAGGATCTGTGTGTTGGGAGGGACCGGAAGGGGCGTGCTGGAGCAGCAGGAGAGAGGGTGCTGGGGTCACGATGGGTGGAGACGGCCATGAGGAGTGAGAGGAGGTGCGGCTAGGCAGGGAGGTTGAGTGGAGAGGGCAGCGAGGCTGCGGGAAGAAGGGCAGCGCTGGCTGGCACACAGGATCGCTCCTGGGTACCAGAGCTTGGAGACTCAGATGTCTGGGGAAACCATGGAGGCGTAGATCCTGGGGATGCTGTCGGAATGTAACTAGCAGCCCTGGGCTGGCTGTGTACCTTTGGGAGGGTGTACACCCTCTCTGATCCTGTCTATCTTCCTGTCTCCAGATGGTGTGACCAGATGATGGAGGGGCTCCAGGGGAACGGGGTGCTATTGGCTGAAGCTCAGTCTTTTGTGTGTGTGTGTGCGTGTGTTCCAGACCCGGTGCTGTCCCTGAGCTTTTTGCGCTCAGGGCTAGCACTCTACCGCTTGAGCCACAGCTCTGCTTCCAGCTTCTTGCTGGATAATTGGAGATCAGAGTCTCCCCTAGATGTTCCTGCCCAGGCTGGCTTTGAACCGTGATCCTCAGATCTCACCCTCCCGAGTGGCTGGGATGACCGGCGTGATCGCCGGTGCATGGCTCCATGTCATCCTGGTGGTGCCAGGCTGTCAGTGCGCCCTGTTCTCTGGCCCTTCTTCCTCCCCTGGGTCCCGTCTGCAGACCCTGCCTTGAGGGGGCAGTGAGCCCAGCCTGAGTAATCACCCCCTCCCCTTTCTCAGGTGACCCAGACACTACAGTGGGTGGTTCGCAGCTGGACGGACCTGGAGAACAGCATGGTGGCCGTGGAGCGCGTGCAGGATTACGCCCGCACCCCCAAGGAGGTGAGGACAGGCGCACAGGGAGGGCGGTGGGCTTCCGCCTCGGCCCCCCACAGCCTCCCCCCCACCCAGGGGCTGCAGGCACGGGGTGGGGGGGGGGGGGCGGCAGCGAGCAGCAGCAGCAGAGCCCGGGCTGCCCTAGGCCCTGGGCAGGCAGGCCACAAGGGGGCAGGGCAGAACTTTGTAGGAGCAGAGCAACTAGCTACACAGTGACAGCTCCTGCAAGGTCTGATGGAACGGAACATTCTAGAACTAGGGCATAGCAACATGTAGCACTCTGCTGGATCCAAAGCAGCCACCTAACAGGGTTCTAAGCTAGGAGGGAATCCAAGGAGATTATGCAGGACAAGATGGGGTCCCGTCCCCAGCTCAAGGGACATTTTCTTTGGGGTGTTGGTCCTGGGGTTTGACTTCAGGGCTGAGCGCTGCCCCTGAGCTTCCTTTGGCTCAAGACTAATGTGCTACCACTTGAGCTGCAGCTCTAGTTCAGGATTTCTGCTGATTAATTGGGAGATTAGAGTCTGGGAGACTTTCCTGCCAGGGCTGTTTTTTGGGTTTTTTTTGGTCAGTCGTGGGGCCTGAACTCTGGGCCTGGGCACTGTCCCTCAGCTCTTCAGCTCAAGGCTAGCGCTCTACCACTTGAGCCACAGCGCCACTTCTGGTTTTCTGGTGGTTTATTGGAGCTAAGAGTTTCACGGACTTTCCTGCCCGGGCTATCTTTGAACTGTGATCCTCAGATCTCAGCTCCCGCGTAGTTAGGAGGACAGGCGTGAGCCACGGGGGCCTGGCTTGCCTGGGCTGTTTTTGACCCTCGATCCTCAGCTCTGCCCCTCCTCACTGGCTCGGAGACAGGCCTGAGCCACGGGCTCCGGCGGGACGCTGTTTTTTGGGCGCTAAGCCTTGAAGAGCAGTTCTGGGAGGGATGGGAGGCAGCGCGCCGTGCGTGGGGAGATGCCAGGCGCTTATTCTGTGCAGCCGCGGTCCTCGCCTCCGTGGATGGGTCTTTACAGCCCTGGATCACAGCGGTAAACGTGTGCTTTGAAGAAACTGAGGCTGGGGAGGGGGAGGCGCGAGAAGTAGAGGGGGTGGTAGAGCAGCTGCCTAGCAAGCAGAAAACAGTTCAGACCCAAGCACCACAGAGAAACGGGGCGCTGAGGCTCAGAGAGGTGGGATCACTGTTGCCCGCCCCCCGTGCCAGGCGCCCTGGAGGCTGCCCACGTGTGCGGCTGGGCACCCCTGGCCCAGTGAAGGGAGGATCGAGTTCCGGGGCTTCGGGCTGAGACACCGCGCGGACCTCCCGCTGGCGGTGCGGGGCGTGTCGCTGACCATTGAGGCTGGGGAAAAGGTAAGTGCGTCTCTGGGCCGAGCACCAGCTGCCCCCCAGCTCCCCACCCAGCCCCCTCCCACCTCGGCTCCCCGACACGGCACCAGCACCACCCTGGGAGCCTGGCTTTGCCAAAGGAGCCCTCGTCCTCAGTCTTCCCGTCTATAAAATGGGAATGCTACCACCCACCCCACCAGCTTCCCTACAGCGCCTCTGTCAGTACCCCATTCTCAACCCCGGGAGGTCTGAGTGTGCTGCGCGTGCCCCCCAGTGTGACTCCCCCCTGCAGCCCGGTCTCTGGGAACCTGCATTTAAGCATATCAATTCCCCTGCCCAGAACCTTCCACCACCTCCCAGCTTCCTTCTGGGTAAAGTCTGAATCCCCGAACTGTGGGCCGCAGGATCCAGCTGCCCGGGGGGGGGGGGGGGGGGGGCACTAACCTGTGTGTGCTTCCCCTCTTCCCCTCCCACTGTACCGCACACCAGGCAGGAAGTAGAGATGGAGGGGGTGGGACAAGAGTGCATGGTGGGCGGAAGTGTGTGCTGAGAGGATGACGGACGGACGGACTGACGGACCTCGACCGTAACGCCGCGGTCCTGGCCTGGCCGGTGTGGACCACGGCCTCGCCTCGCCCTGGCAGGTGGGCATCGTGGGCAGGACGGGGGCCGGGAAGTCCTCGCTGGCCGGAGGCCTGCTGCGGCTCCAGGAGGCGGCGGAGGGCGGGGTGTGGATCGACGGCGTCCCCATCGCCCGCGTGGGGCTGCACACGCTGAGGCGCAGGATCACCATCATCCCGCAGGTGAGGGGGCGTGGCCGCTGCGAGGGGCGGGGCGAGGGCTGGGGGCGTGGCGAGGGCGGGGCCGGGGCGTGGCAAGGGCTGGGGGCGTGGTGAGGGGCGTGGCCGCTGCGAGGGGCGGGGCGAGGGCTGAGGCGTGGCCGGTATGTGCTGAGGGCTGGGGCGGGGCGAGGGGCGTGGCCAGGGCAGGGCCGAGGCATGGCAAGGGCTGGGGGCGTGGCCGCTACGAGGGACGGGGTGAGGGCTGGGACGGGAGAGGGGCGTGGCAAGGGCTGGGGCGTGGCCGGTATGTGCTGAGGGCTGGGGCGGGGCGGTGTCTGGGGGCGTGGCAAGGGCGGGGCGTGGCGATGGTTGGGGCGTGGCGATAGTTGGGGGCGTGGCGAGGGGCGGGGCCTGTGCTGACCCCCGGGCGCCTCCCGCCAGGACCCCATCCTGCTCCCCGGCTCCCTGCGCGCGAACCTGGACCTGCGGCAGGAGCACACAGACGAGGCCCTCTGGGCGGCGCTGGAGACCGTGCAGCTCAAGGCCTTCGTGGCGGCGCTGCCCGGCCAGCTGCAGTACGAGTGTGCCGACAGGGGCGACGACCTGAGGTAGGCGCACCCCTGGGGCGCGGGGGGAACCTTGGGTTCGAGGCTCAGCTGGACAGCACAGTAAGAACCCGAGCGCACGGGTGGCTCACGCCTGTCATCCCAGCCACTCAGCAGGCTGAGAGCTGAGGATCACAGTTCGAAGCCAGCCTGGGCAGGAAAGTCCACGAGACTCTTGTCACCAGAAAACCCGAAGTGGCCCTGTGGCTCCAGTGGTAGAGCGCTCGCCTTGAGCTGAAGAGCTGAGGGACAGCACGCAGGCCCTGATCAAGCCCCACCACCAACAAAACAGGAGGCAGAGGAGAGAAAAGAGAATGGGAAACAAGGAGATCAGACTGTAGTCAGAGGTCGGGTGTGACTCTGGCTCCACCAGGGGCTCTGTGGCCTCGGGCAGGCACTTGACCTCTCTGTGCCTGAAGGAGCATGAGGTCCAGTGTGGGGTCCATTTCTTAGGTCTGGCCCCTGGGGGAGGTCCTAACACCAACAGAAGCCAGCCCTTCCCCCAGCTGGGAGACTGAGGCACACAGGACGGCACTAACCTCTGCTTGTGGTGCCCAGCGTGGGGCAGAAGCAGCTGCTGTGCCTGGCACGCGCCCTGCTCCGGAAAACCCAGATCCTCATCCTGGATGAGGCCACAGCGGCCGTGGACCCGGGCACCGAGCTGCGCATGCGGGCAGCCCTCGGGCGCTGGTTCGCGCACTGCACGGTGCTGCTCATCGCGCACCGCCTGCGCTCCGTGATGGACTGCAGCAGGTGAGACGGGCGAGGGGCCGGGAGGAGGGCGCCGGCCCCAGGGCCCTGGCTTCCACGCAGGCCAGGACTAGGGAGCTACAGGAAGCCTCCCCCCCCCCCCCAAGGAAGCCAAAGAGCTGCCCGTCCCTCCCTTCCCTGCAGGGTGCTGGTGATGGACAAGGGGCAGGTGGTGGAGTGTGGCAGCCCGGCCCAGCTGCTGGCCCAGAAAGGCCTGTTCTACAGACTCGCCCAGGAGTCAGGGCTGGTTTGAGCCAGGCCTGGACATGCCGGAGACCGCGGGCTGCCTGGTCCGGTGGGGGGTCACGAGTGGGCTCTTTTCTGGGCGGAAGATGGCAGACACGGTGGCTGATGATCACAGACCCTCAAGACTGCCCTCCCCTCCCCCCAACGGCCTGCGCAAGGCCCAGCGAGCCTCGTCTACCTCAGAGCCACTGTGGACAGTGCACCCACCACGGCTGCCCGCCGGACTCACCTGGGGAACTTGAACACAGGCCCAGCCCCAGCCCTGACCCTGCTGGGCCTGGCGATCCTGTGCGCACCTTTCCCAAATGACTTGGGAGGTCATCACGGGCTCAGATGCAGTCTGAAGAAATACAGCGCTGGCTGCGGTGGTGCTACTGAGAATCCCAGCTATTTAGAAGTAGACACTGGGAGGATCAATGTCAGACTGGACAAAAAATAAAGTGAACATTGAGACCCCTTCCCCATCTTAACCAGTAAAAAGCTGGGCAGTGTAGTGTGCATCTGTCATCCAGCCACAGAAGCAAAAATAGAATTGAGGTCCAGAGCTGGGCACCGGTGGCTCCCAGCTACTCAGGAGGCTGAGATCTGAGGATCACGGTTCAAAGCCAGCCCAGGCAGGAAAGTCCGTGAGACTCTTATCTCCAAATAAACCACTAGAAAACTGAAGTGGTGCTGTGGCTCAAGTAGCAGAGCGCTCACCTTGAACTGAAGAGCTGAGGGACAGCGCCCAGGCCCTGAGTTCAAGCCCCACGACCAACAACAGCAACAACAAGAATTGAGGTCTGGGAGAAGTTAGGCATAAAGCTGATACCCTTAAGGAAAAATAAAGCAAAAAAGAGCCTCAAGGGGCAGTGCAAAGCCCCGAGTTCAAATCCTAGACGGCTGAAAGAGTACAGACGGCTCCCTTGAACCCTTTTCTCTCGTGTTTCCCAGGTGACTCCTTGCAAAACTCCAGTACAGGATCACAAGCAGGACCCTGACATTCATACAGCAGACGATGACGGTGGTTCTTACTTCCTGTGTTTGTGTGTATTCACTTCTGCACTGCCTGGCCTGCAGTCAGGGCCTTGAGCTTTCTTGCGCACAGCTGGCCCTCCACTACCTGAGCCACACCTCCAGCCCAGCTTTTTGCTGGAGTTGCCAGGAACACAGCCCAAGACTCAACAAGCTTCAAGCATAGGGTTTTAAAATCTGAATCCAGCTTCTTTTTCTAGGAACCCAGCGGTCATAAGAACACCAAATGCCATGGGGTCAAGGGTCAGGGGTCAGAGCTGGCTGAAGCCCAGCGCCGGCTCTGACCTGGGGCAGTCAGTGCCCAGCTCACTGCACTGTTGAGGCCAAATCCTGAACTCAGACCAACTCCTGCCATCGTCCACGCCAGCCTAAGGCCCCACAAGGCACGCGGGTAACTAACGCAGGTTCGCACACTGCACACAGCTGTGGAGGCGGGCCAGGACCCAGTGTACACAGAGAGCCACGCATGCGTCCCTGCCGCCGTACAGCGCCCACCTGTCCCTGGCGCACACGCTGTGCCACGCCTGAGGACACGGTACCCTCGCTGGACAGTGCCACTCCACCCCGGGACACGGCATCCAGCGTGTGTCCGCCCAGCGGCTGGCTTCTGCCTGCTCAAGTCCAGGCTCGCCCCTGGCGGCCACGGCCACCCCTGACTGCAGTGGCTGCCACCTCGGGCCCCAGGCCCTTGACACAAGCCAATGGCTTCCCTCGTGGACCACATCACTCAGGAAAACAGCAGTGCGAGTGGGGACTCAGGGCGCGCGCCCCAAAATACAGGCATTCCCCACTACTCAGTTCTCATACCCCAAACCCGAGTCTCAGCGCCTCTTTCCATCCGGCAGGATGGAGACGTGACCCATACCCGAGGCCACAGCCCGAGCGCACACACCATCACCCTTCCCCAGCTCCGGAGACCCGAGCCGCGGTCCCTGAGCAGAAGGCAGTCACCCCTTTATCAACATTCTATCAGCTCAACAAGGCAGCAGCGGCTCACTCCTACAATCCCGGCTACTGAGGAGGCTGAGCGCTTGGGATTCCGGCCCGCCAGGGCAGGAAAGTCCGTGAGACTCTTATCTCCAATGAACCACCAGAAAACTGGAAGTGGCGCTGTGGCTCAAGTGGTAGAGCATTAGCCTTGAGCTGAAGAGCTGAGGGACAGCGCCCAGGCCTGGAGTTCAAGTCCTATGACTGATACAAAAAACAAAAAACAGTTCAGTGGTGGTATATACCTGTAATCCCAGCTACACAGGAGAGGTTCAGGAGGATCAGCGTCCAGAGCTGGCCCTGGGAAAAAGTGTGAGACCCTATCTGAAAAGTAGAGCATAAAGAACTGGGACTTAGCTCAAGAGGCTCTGGGTTCAAACCCTAGTACTACCAAAAAAAGTGTCCAAAGTTCCCCTAGAACATTCAAGCCATGCTACAGTAATGAACACAATGGTTGCTTTTAAGCTGACAGAATTTGCATGTGTGTGGTTTGTGTGTGGTGTTGTGTGTTCGTGTGCCCGTACTGGGTCTTGAACTTGGGGCTTGGGTGCTGTCCCTTAGCTTTTTTGCTCAAGGTTGGCCTTCTACCACTTGAGCCACGGCCTCACTCTTAGCTTTTTGCCGGTTAATTGGAGATAAGTCTGAGATTAGTCTGCCCAGGCTGGCTTTGCACTGCGATCCTCCGATCTCAGCCTCCTGCATGGCTGGGCTGACAGCGGGAGCCCTGTGCCCGGCTGCCTCACCTGCCTTTGCCTGGGGATGTGCCGTGGGTGCGCTGGCACGCCACGCAGGAGCCCAGCCAGCCCGGCACGCAGACAAAGCTGCGAGCCACATGACCACCGAAGGACAAGAGGAGCACTCAAGCTGGGGGCCCAGGCTCAGCCCCCTCCCTGCCAAGCCCCGTGCTCTGCCCTCCATCTTGACTTCGAACCCCCAATTCTGGCAGACCACCACACAACATACCTGCTCCGCGCCAACTCCCCCAGAGCAGAGCGCTGCCCCTGCGGCCGCACCCCGAACAACAGGCGGCGGTCATTTAGAAAGAAATAAAATATTTTGTTTTACTGAAAATTACTTGCAAGTGTTCACGTTTCCAGTGTTAAGTCATTACAAAAAGAGGCCCAAGGAAAACCTGGGTTCTCGAACGTGAAAGAATGGCTTAACTTACAAAAAAAATAAATATACATTTCCACTTAAAAGAAAAAAGTCGGCAGCAGAACTCACAGCGGGCGCGAGTCCCGGGCAGCTGTGGGGCCTCGCTGCTTTGGGGGTGTCACTGAGACCTCCCCCCACAGACCCGCCTGGAAAGACCACACACGAGCCAAAGGTCTAGTGCAAAGCCAGGCCTGGCGGAGGCCTTGGGGCGCTGTCCCCCGCGCACCCCTCTTGGAAAGGCAGCTCTCCACGCTGGCTTTCTCCCTGGAGCAGCACTTAGTGAGGGGCTGGGGGAGCCGGAGGCGGCCGGCCGGGTGTCCAGGGGAGAAACTGAGCTCTGAGAACGAGGGACTCGGGCTTTTTGGTATCCAGCGGCGGTCCGTGCTGTTGACCTTGGAGGTGTCCAGTTGTGACCTTGGATGTGCGTCGGCAGACCTTGTGAGAGGCCCATCCCATCCAAGCGGCAGGGGCGGGAGGAAGGCGGGGGAGGGCGAGCTGGGGGAGGGTGGGTTTCGAGGATGAGCTCTGGGGGTGCCTGAGCCCCCCCTCACTCCGGGGGGGGGGGTGCCTCTCGCCACTGATGCAAATCCCATCGGAGACGATGCTGGGCGCTGCCTCCGCCCCCAGGCCCCGGAGCAGCTGGAAGACGAGAGGTGGTCGAGAGGTGGTCGCCAGGACAGTCCGGGGCCCCGAGGGGGCGGAGCGTGGCGTCCGCCAGGCGTCAGGACACTGGAGGTGACAGGAGGCTGCGGGAAAGCCATGTGGCCGTGGAGAGGTGCAAGGCAGTTGGCTGGATTTGGTCACTAGCGTGTTTCACACAACCAATTTCTCGAGAAGGCGACTGTGGGTGCCGCAGCCCCCTCCGTGGGAGCCAGGCCTGCAATCTGAGGTGCGCGTCTTGTGGGGTGCGCGTCTTGTGGGGCGCCAGAGACCAGGGCACACACACGTTTGGGGTGGGAGGCATCTCTGCCTCTAAGCAGGGCCGGGCAGCGGCTGCTGCTTGCTGTGTTTTGGCGCTGGGGGTGGTGGGTGGGGGTGCGGTTGGTTTTCTTTCTTCGTTTTTGGTTTCTGTGTGGGAGGCCGGGGCTCCCCAGGGTGCCGGCTCGTCCCGGGGTGCGGGCCCGTGGGCCTTGCAGTTCTGGTCGGGCACCGGCTGCGGGCCTCACACCAGGCCGGCGTCTTTGGCCATGCTGTAGAAGAGCCCCCTGTCCTGCAGGAGCTGGGATGGCGAACCACACTCGCAGATCTCGCCCTTGTCCAGGACAATCACCCTGCAGGGAGAGGACGCAGGCGTGAGGGGCACGGCGGCGCTGGGCACCTTGCGCCCACCACGGCTTTGGGTCAGGCCCTCGACATCTTCTGCCAGGACTGACAGAGCCATCGCCCCACCGGCTTCCTACCCCCAAGCCCCACCCCCACTTTTTTCTGTAGGTTTTTTGTTGCTGTGGGGCCTGAACTCTGGGCCTGGGCGCTGTCCCTCAGCTCTTCAGCTCAAGGCCAGTGCTCTACCACTTGAGCCACAGCGCCACTTCTGGTTTTCTGGTGGATTATTGCAGATAAGAGTGACTCCAATCGTGCTTTGAAGCACGATCCTCAGATCTCAGCCTCCTGAGTAGCTGGGAAGACAGGTGTGAGCCACCAGTGCCCAGCTTTTTTCTGTGGTTTTGAAGATTGAACCCAGAACCTCCTGTATGCTAGGCAGAAGATCTGCCACCTGAACTATGGCCCCAGCCCCTTCAAACCCGATTTCTAATCAATGTCTAATGGGTATGAGGCTGCCGTGTGTGTGTGTGTGTGTGTGTGTGTGTGTGTGTGTGTGTGTGTGTGTGTGTGTGTGTGTGTGTGTGTGTGTGTGTGTGTGTGTGTGTGTGTGTGTGTGTGTGTGTGTGTGTGTGTGTGTGTCTCTCTCTCTCTCTCTCTCCTGGGGCTTGAACTCGGATCCTGGATGCTGTCACTGACTTTTTCTTTGCACAAAGCTCGTGTTCTATCATTTGAACCACAGCTCCTCTTCTGGCTTTTTGGTGGTTAACTGGAGATAGGAATCTCACAGCTTCCCTGCCCAGGCTGGCTTTGAACTGTGATCCTCAGACCCTGGCCTCCTGAGCAGCTGGGATGAGGGGGGAAGCTGCCTGTCACCTGCGTGGCCTCCACAGTGGTGGGAATAGCGTTGAGGGAACAGGGCCGCCGCGGCTCCCGCGCATCGTCTGAAGGGCTCAATTCTCTGCGCCTGCGCAGTGCTCTGCGGCCCAGCCCCTGCCTCCTGCTCCGCGTGGCCTCTGCCTCCTCCTCCCTCGGTGCCCACCTCCAGGCCCAGCGGCCTGGGCTCACCCCTGGCTGTGCCCCGACCTCCAGTGCTCTCCCTGGATCAAAGCTGGCCTGAGCCCAATGCAGCACCCTGCCTGCTGTTCTGGGTGCTCACTGTTCTTGCTTTGGGGATACTGGAGTTCGGAATCGGGGCCCTGTGAATGCTCAGCAGGTGCACTGCCACTCGAGCCACGCCTCCCGCCCTTCTGTGCTTTTGTTACTTGTCAAACGAGGTCTGGCTCTCTGCCCGGCAGACCCGGGCCACAGCGATCCTAATGACGCTTCCAGCGTAGTTGAGAAGCCGCAGCAGACGCCGCGCCGGCTTTTTCATTGGTTGCGGTGGAGGCTGCCGCGCGCATGGGGCCCATGCTGAATGAATGGATGGATGGAGGAGCCAGCCAGCGCCGTACCTGGTGTAGTCCATGATGGTGTTGAGCCGGTGGGCGATGGTGAGCACCGTGCAGTCGTGGAACTGCGTCCGGATGGTGGACTGGATGAGGTCGTCCGTCTCCAGGTCCACGGCGGCGGTGGCCTCGTCCAGCACCAGGATCTTCGTCTTCCTCAGCAGGGCGCGGGCCAGGCACACGAGCTGCCGCTGCCCCACGCTGCGGAGGGAGAGCGCAGTGGTGGCGCAGGTCCGAAGCCTCGGAGCAAACGACCCCCCCACCCGAGCCCCAGCCCGCCCCAGCCTTGCTCAAGGGGAGGCTGACCCGCGTGAGCCCTGCCCCCCGTGGGACACTGCAGGCCTGTCCCACTCCTGTGCCCCCCCATTGCCATGGCAACATGCCCAGGCCAGGATGCCGGAGGGACATGTGGGCTGGTGCCCGATGAGGCTGCGCTCCTCATCCCCCGCCGGCCCCCGCCACGAGAACGCGCCCAGCCGAGATCAGCCACGCCCCGGGGCGGGCCGCACGCGGCCATCAGGGAACTCCAGCTTGGATGTCATGGTGACCGAGAATGGAATGCAGCCCTGGGACGGTGACACCGGGTCTGACCCCGGGGCGGCGGGCGGGCACGGAGGGCTAGGGTGGGGACTGACACGGGCACCCCTGCAGCAGCGGCTGGCAGCCAGGACAGAGCTGCCAAGGAAGGAACCGCATCAGCCATCTTGGCTGTACCTCAAGCTACAGAGAGTCTGGTGGGAAGCGTGCCTCACAGTGGGAGACGGGGCCCGCGGGGAAGAGGCTGGGTGGGATTCCCCAGGCCGGGGTGTCGGGAGGTCCCCCCCGCCCACCTGAGGTTCTCCCCGCCTTCTGCACACTCGTGTTCCAGCCTGTCAGGTAGGGTCGAGACGAAGCCCTTTAGGTGAGCCAGCTCCAGCGCCGTCCAGACGTCCTCGTCCGAGTACTGGCTGAACGGGTCTAGGTTCATGCGCAGCGAGCCCGAGAACAAAACGGGGTCCTGCAGAGCAGAGCAGAGGGCATGGCAGGGCTCGGGCTCGCTCATCCGCTCTGGGACATTCCCGAGAAACGTCAGTGTGCAAAACCCGGCGAGCGGCTTCCAACGGGAGACAAAGCCCTGGCAACGCCCAGTCTCCTTCAACCTCTGTCCTGATAGACAGTGTCTCCCGGAGACGCTTTGTGGGTACCCAACCCCCGCCCCCATCCACGATGCTGCAGTGTCTGCCCATGTGCTGTGGGCCACACCTGGCGCCAGGTAAATCCAGGTAAGCGGCGGTTACACGGGATCTCTGATGGCACCACATCAAGAGAGGCGGTTATGTTACTCTTGGAAGATGCAAATTAAGTCACTGCTTTTGATCTGGGGTTGGCTGACTGTGTGGATGCGGCCTGCCCCTCCCACCTGGCCCCCCCACACTCAGCTCCACCCACACAGCCCCACCCCACCTGCGGGATGATGGTGATCTTGAAGCGCAGGTTGTGCAGGCCGATCTTGGCAATGTTGACGCCATCGATGATGATCTCTCCTTCTGCGGACTCATTGATCCGAAACAGGCCCAGGGTCAGAGATGACTTCCCAGCTCCTGTCCGGCCCACGATGCCAACCTGAGGGTCAGGAAGAGCCAGAGTGAGGGAAGGTGCTAGGCAGTGGAGGGTCTCTGTGCCCTTGTTGGGCGCCGATCACCAGCTGTGCATCACCTCATTGGCCCAACTCCCGCCATAGCCAAGGCTCGTGCGCCACAATTCCCTGGAACCGTCCTTCGGGGACTGCTTTGGCCAGAGGCCAACACGCTTCTCTTTGCCAGGCTCCCTGAGGACCCAATCTGCCCTTTTCAAAAGTTGGTAGAGACCCCCAAAAAGACAGGGAGGGTCAGGCAGAAGGAACGCTTCATGTCCTGCTCTGCTCAACACAAGAGTGCGTTTGTTGGGCAGCTGCTGGGCGTTTCCTGACCTCCCGACTATGTCCCACCTCTGCTTCGAGGAGCGGCTCCTCCTGGTAGCTGTGGCAAAATCTGCGTTGAGCAGAATCCAGTCCCCTGGGCCCCTCTCACATGGCCTGGACTCATTGAGGGGAACCAGGAACCTGGCGAGCAGCCAATGACAGGCTTCCTGTCATCTATCCTGAGCCAATGACGGCATTCCTGACATCCAACTACAGCGAATGATGGGCATTCCCGACATCCAACTACAGGGAATGACAGTGTTTCCATCTTCCATCCTGACCCAATGATGGGCATTCCCAACATCCAACTACAGCCAATGACAGGGTTCCTGTCATCCATCCTGAGCCAATGATGGGCATTCCCGGCATCCACCTACAGCCAATGACAGGCATTCCTGACATCCAACCTGAGCCAATGATGGGCATTCCCAACATCCAACCTGAGCCAATGACGGGCATTGCTGACATCCAACTACAGCCAATGACGGGTTCCTGACACTCTCTACTCTTGGGCCCTTGGAAATGGACTCGCTCATCCGCTAATGTGTCACAGTACAGCACATGTGCCAAAATTCCCACGACGTCACCAAAGCCACGGACTCAGAAGTACGTCCCTCATTGCAAGTGAGAATGCACCCCATGGGACAGAAGGCTTTGTCCCAGGTGGCAGATGGTTTAGAAACTCCATATGCTCAGAAGTGCAGATGGCCAGGAGACCTTTGACCGACTTCTGAGGACAGTCTAAGGGTCTCCGGGCAGGAGAGCCGTCTCGGAATAGCTTGGAACTACGGGAAGCTTCTAAAGTTCCAGTAACTCCCTGTGTCCCGAGCTCGCCTTGAAGTGACGGAGCATCACGTGTCTCCCTGGACTCTAGACGCCAGCACAGACATCACTGAGGACCCTGACGTCTTGTAGATCCAGGTGGGCGTGGCCTAGCACTGCTACATGTTCTGGATCTCTCAAGAAAACCAGGAGGATTATTCTATAAAGTATTAATTTATTTCTTTTTAAGACAGGCTTGTCTCAAACTCTCAATCCTCCTCCTACCTCAACATCCTCAGTACAAGGATTATGGTACTTTTCTTGTGCCCCCCCCCTTTTTTGTCATTTGTGAGGCTTGAACTCAGGGCCTGGGCGCTGTCCCTGAGCCTCTTTGTGTTCAAGGCTATGCTCTACCACTTGAGCCACAGCACCACCATTGGGCTTTGAGTGGTTAATTGGAGATAAGAGTCTCCCAGGGACTTTTCTGCCTGGGCTGGCTTCAAACCGCCATCCTCATCTCAGCTTCCTGAGCGGCTGTGATTACAGGTGTGAGTCACTGTGCCTGGCTCTTGTGCCCTTTTCCAATGCTCCATTTAAGTACTGGGAATTGGGCCCAGGGCCTTTGCACATGCTAGGTAATAAGCCTTTACTTCAGATTTTCTTTCAGCACACCACTGGGCTTCACTGGCTTCCGGGTTCTTTCCAGTGTACAACCTGTTACTAGTCTCCAAATGGCTCTTTCCATCAGCCCTGCTTAAGGCCCGGGGCCCCCACCCCGGCCGGGGACCAGGCGCCCGCACCTTTTCTCCGCCGTTGATGGTGACGTTGATGTGCTTGAGAACCATGTCCAGGTCGTCTCGGTAGCGCAGGCAGTAGTCTCGGAATTCCACCCGGCCCTCCTGGGGCCAGTTGCTGGGCGGAGCCGTCTCCCTGATCTGCCAGGGAGCCTTCCGTCCCAACGGGGGGGCGGGGGGGGGAGGGGGGGAGAGCAGAGAAACCCGCGTGAGCCGGCCGCCCCAGGCCCCTCTCCTCCTTGCATGTGAGGCTTCCGGGCCTTTAGCTCCTGCAGCCCCTGGCCACTTCCGGTCGCCCTCCTACCTAGCCCTGTGCCCCCGAGAAGCACATTCAGAGCACCAGCCACCTCCTGTGTGACCCGGTGGCCACTGCGCTCCGTCTCCTGGGCCCAGTGCATTGACAAATGTTCAATCGCTGCTCATGGGCTCGCTCGGGGAAGGGGGGGAGATAGCAGGGACGGGGGGGGGGTCCCCAGCTGCCCCGCGGTCTGCAGGGGCTCACTAGGAGCACCAGTTAACAGTAAAGATAACCTCAGCGAGCCCGGATAGCTCCTGGCCTCATCTCCAGGCAGCCCGCGGGGCGTGCCGCTCACGCAGGGCTCAGGGGTCCTAGGCCACGCCCAGGCCAGGCGGGCGCTGCTTTACCTCCTTCTCGGTTTCTGAGTACTCCTTGAGCCTCTCCACGGCCACGATGTTGGTTTCCATCTCGGAGGACATCCGGACCAGCCAGTTGAGGTACGTTGTGACCTGCAGGCGGGGGGGTAATCACGCTGACTTACTGCAGTGAGTGTGAGTTTCTTATTTCCATTAAATGATCGGGCCAATAGTCACTGATTACGGCTCCACACAGAAAGCGGCAAAGCCACACACAGCCGGTCCCTTACCCGTAGGTAACACTTCCCAAAGGGAAGTAACTGAAAGTATTTGCAACCGATGGCATGAAAATTCCAGAGATGCAGACAAAGCAGCACTCTGAGGAATCTTTGTAGCTTTAAAAGCCTCTTCCTTCCAGCCAGAGCATCCCAGTGGTGGAGAACCGTGGCCACGCCTCCAAATCCCCCACTGCGCTCCCTTCTCCAGCCCCGGCCCCAGGATCCCAAACAAGAGCCACCCACGGGGGGGGGGGTCTGAGCACCAAGAGCGCCTCCGGTCCTACCTGCAGGGAGTAGGACACGGAGAGGCCTACCAGGCCGGCGCTGAGGCCCTGTCGGCCCACGGCGCTGAGGCTGTTTCTGGAGATGACCGAGAACAGGGCGGCAAACAGGACGATGCAGTTGCCGACATACTCCAGCCGCACGGCCAGCCACCTGCGGAGAGCCACAGCCGTGTAGACACGCCTCCCCGTGCACGCTCACACGCATGCGCGCACACGGGGCCGGCCTTCCGGCGACCTGGCTTTTCTCTCACGAGGGAAGGAGCAGCCAATCTGCCGACTGCAGTGAAGCCCTGAAGCTCATCAGGGCCTGGCACAGGAGAAGGGGGAGGGAGGGAGGGAAGGAGGGAGGGAGGGAGGGAGGGAGGGAAGGAGGGAGGGAGGGAGGGAAGGAGAGAGGGAGGGAGGGAAGGAGAGAAGGAGGGAGGGAGGGAGGGAGGGAGGGAGGGAGGGAGGGAGGAGGGACACGGGGTTCCTGGGCGTCTCGCCACCCCAGGGATGAAAATAGAATTCTCCAGAAGCCTCCTTCCCGGGAATTTCCAGTTTGTCACAGTGAGGACCGGCTTCTCAAGAAATCTCACACACACGTGTCCATTCACGAGTGCCTGGAATTCTCAAGCACTCAAAAGCCTGGGGGGTCCCACCCAGCCATCGGGGGGCCTGGGCCTGACCCCAGCAACAACAACAAAAACCAACAGATGAAATCTCTCTGCCAGAGATGCTTCTAGAAGACACTGAGAAGCAAGCCGGCACTTTTGACGTCTGTCAGTCCTAGACTCCCGTTACATCCCGGTGTTCTGAGGATGGGGTCCTCTGCTTTTAAAACATCAGCACATCTGCCCTTGGTTTGTTGAGGCAGTGTCTCGCCGGCAGCCAGGTCTCACTTCAAACTCCCGATCCGCTCCCCCGGAGCCTCCAAGGGCTGGGATTATAGGCATGTGCCACCAGGCCCGGCAGGTTTCATTGGCTTAAAACTTTTATAAGCCATTGTGTGGCCGGAGGGAGATGGTTTCCCCATTTCCATTGTGAAGCCGGGGTGGGGGGCAGAGCGGGGTCTGACTCCCCACAGCACCCCCGGTGCTCACCACAGTAACCCCATGTGCCACCATGCTGAGCGCTGGGCAACCCCCTGCCTAGTTTTGAAGGATGAGTTTCACTTTGGGAAGGAAAGTTCCTCGGGCTCAGCTCCTCTGAGCACACTGCCTTGGTGTACCACAGATGGGGGTACAGCACCCCTCAGCGGGGACCTGAGCTGTGGGAATGACCTGGTATCCCGGGACCCTGGCTAAAGGGCAGCGTGGGGTCTGCTGACTCGGTACCCCGGGTCCCGGGCTCATAGCTTCTGCTTGTCCTTTGTGGGGTTTTTTTTGTTAGTCGTGGGGCTTGAACTCTGGGCCTGGGCGCTGTCCCTCAGCTCTTCAGCTCAAGGTGAGCGCTCTACCACTTGAGCCACAGCGCCACTTCCGGTGTTCAGGTGATTTATTGGAGATAAGGGTCTCAGGACTTTCCTGCCCGGGCTGGCTTTGAACTGCGATCTTCAGATCTCAGCCTCCTGAGTAGCTAGGATGACAGGCGTGAGCCACCAGCACCCGGCTTCTGCTGGTCCATTTTTATCTAAGGGTCTTGGTACATAGCCCGTGCTGGACTCAAACTCCAGATCCTCCTGCCTCTGTCTCCCCAAGTGCCGGGATTACAGGCGTGAGCGTCCCACCCGGCCCTGCCATTGCCGTGGGTGGGTAGGGTGCCCCCCGCCTCTCTGCGGGGCCTCACCGGTTGGCCACGATGCTGGGGTAGTAGGCCTTCTGGTTCTCGTCCACCTTCAGGTCGCTCTGGCGCACGAAGCGCTCCTGGTCCTCAAAGGCGCGGATGACGCTGACCCCCAGCAGGGTCTCGTTGAAGTGCGAGTAGACGGGGGAGCGGCTGACCGACTCGAGGCGCTTGAGCTGCCGGGAGGAGGCCACGTAGAACCTCTGCGGGGAGAGCGGGTGGGGTCACCGAGGGGGCGTCCCCCGGGGAGCCGAGCAGCCCGCAGGAATGGAGACAACACCGCGACGGGAGACACAGCTGTCCTCCCTCGTGATGGGGACACTGAGGCACGCGGCACCATGTCCCCTCTCGCCCCCCGGGGCCGTCTTCCCTCCGATGACATCACATCTCACGCACCGACGCCACCACGGCGCTGCTCCCGCCCTAACCCGCGCACCAGCCGGCACTGGCACGGAGCGCCGCCGGCCCGTGGGGAGCCTGAGCGCGCGCTCCGGCTTCTCTCCTGGAGATCAAGGATGGGCGGTGGGGGGCGCTGACTCGTGGGGCTCCCTCTGGGCCCGGCCCCGGGGATTCCCAGTGTGAGGGGGGCCCCGCGGAGCTCCGTGTGGTGCATGGCGGGCGCGGTCGCAGCGCGTGTCGGCTTCCCTCACGGAGGCTGCTCCGGTCTCAGAGTGGGAAACGGGACGTGCTAGCCGGAGCCCCAGCAGCTGTGCTGGACCGGGAGACCGGCTAAAGAGCAGAAGGCTTTGGCAACCGTGGTAACACAGAACCAAGCGGAAAGGAAGCCACAGTGGAGGCCGGGACCGGCCGGCTCACCTGCACGAAGAAGTAGACGAGGCCCAGGGGCGGGATGATGACGGCGGCGATGGGCGTGGCCAGCAGGATGATGACGCAGGCGCCCACCACGTTGAAGAGGGAGCCCATGTACATCTTGATGACCTGCGGGATCATGGAGTCCACCGTGTCCAGCTCCTTGGAGAAGCGGTTCACCAGGTTCCCGCTGGGCGTGCGCTCGAAGAAGCTCATGGGCGAGCGGAGGACGTTGTGCAGCAGGTCCAGGTGCAGGCGGCGGGAGGCCAGGATGCCCCCGATGGACACCGTCATGGAGTAGCCGAACACGGCGATTCCTGCGGCCCGGGCATCGGCGTGAGCGCCAACGGGGGCTGCCCGGGGCCCGCACGGTCACCGCCGGCCCAGCTCACAGCGGGCTCACCCCTGCCCGCCTCACAGATGACAGCGGGGCAGCAATGTCCGCCCTGCTGTGCTGGCCGGCCAGCGTGGGAGCACTGGAGAGCGAGCGCGGCCCGGGGGCCCCGGCATCGCCACCCCCAGAGCCTTCCAGTTCCGATCGCGTCTATGGAGAGCAGACAGCGCAGCTCCTGGACACAGCCTGGCTGTGTGACCCAGGTGGACACCACACCCTCTCTGAGTAGGACTCCAAGGTCCCCTCCCCCTGGCAGCAGGGCATGAGGCGCAAGAGGGTGCCCCCGACTCAGCGCCCCCAGGGCCTCTGGCCTCGACGTTCCCCAGCTGTGCCATGGGTGCCCCGGGTGCTCCTCCTCTGTGTGTCCCATGGGAAACAAAGCACCCAGAAGACATTTGTTCCACTTGAAGGTGAGGCTGGGGGATACAGAGCCAAGCACCATCAATATCAGAGTGAAATAAAAGCCGGGCACCAGTGGCTCACGCCTGTCATCCTAGCTACTCAGGAGGATCTGAGGATCACGGTTCAAAGCCAGCCTGGGCAGGGAAGTCCGTGAGACTCTTCTCTCCAATGAACCACCAAAAAACCAGAAGTGGCGCTGTGGCTCAAGTGGTAGAGCGCTGGCCCTGAGCTGAAGAGCTGAGGGACAGCGCCCAGGCCCCGAGTTCAAGCCCCACAACCAACAAAATGAAACAAAACAGAAAGAAATAAAGGAAAACAAAACAAGAAGTAAAAGAGCAATAGAAAGTAAACTGAAATAAGAAAGAAAAGAAAGACCTCAAACATTCATTCCATCAACAGGCAGGTGTTTTGTCAGCGGTCCGTCTGAGTCTGGCTTGGTTTGGCCATGTCCCCCGTGCTGAGGCAGGCAGGAGAAGCATACTGTGATGGCCGGAGCCACCGTGAGCGGGGTGGGACGGGAGGCACTCACCTTGTAAAATGCCCAGGGCTCCGTAGACGCCCAGCCGGAGCTTGGTGTGCCCCTGGGTCCCGTTGACAATAGGGTCGTCCGTCCAGAGGCTGAGCCAGTAGTTGGAGGCCAGGGCGGAGACGTGGTTACACAGGAACAGGAAGATGCTCAGGAAGGAGATGAAGAGGCCGATGGCCTTCATGTACTCCCAGTACACGGTGAGCTTCACCTGGGCGGGCAGAGCAGGCCGAGGACCAGTCAGCGTCGGCACAGTTCCCGGAGCCCCGCCTACTGCCCACTGCCACCTCCCCCCTGCCCCGTGAGTGCCTGGGGAGCAGGTGCAAAGATGATCGGGGCCCCTCCCCTCCTTAGTCCCCCCTGGGGTGGACATGGGGGGGGGGCAGGTGTCAACCCCCGGGCCTCCCATCCTCAGGGTACTGAGAGGTCACTCCTGGTGAACTTGGGGGCTCCTTGTGCAGGAAATGGGGCTCATTCTGGACCCCCTCCTCCGCCGGTGAGGGTCGCAGTCTCAGTCTTTCGCGCTTTTGCTTTGGTTTCCGGTCGCGGCGGTGGCGGAGGTGATCCTTACCTGGCCGGTCTGCGCCTTGTCGGTCTCCATCAGCCTCCAGGCCTCCTCCTTGCTGCCGGCCTCCTGCAGCTCGGCGGTGCTGGCGTGGTGCTTGCTGGCGTCCCCGCTGTATGAGGAGCTGCTGCTCAGCTGCCTGGGAAGGTGCAGGGCAGGGCGTCGGCCCGAGGCTTGGGAGGGGGAGGTGAGGGAAGGGGGTGTCCCCGCGTCCTGTTCAGGGGGTGATGAGCCGGGAGGAAGCGGGCACCAAGCGTCTCGGTCTGTGAGCACCCGGGATGGTCTGCACAAAAACCACCAACCACCACTGGAGGGCAGGAAATGTTTAGGAAATGCTGGGTGTAGTGGCGCACACCTGGAATCCCAGCACTGATTATTGTGGTGAGCTTTTATTTGCACACGATTTGAAGTGTATAGGAGAGTTGGCAGAGCAGGACTGTGTGTCTCTCCTACTGACTTACCAGCCCGCACCCTGTGCCTCATTTGCATTACACCGGCATCAGTGTTGGTAATCTAAGAGTTCTGCAGGAGGCTCTCCTAGTGCCAGGAGCTGGCCTGGCAAGTGGGATCTTCCTGCCTGTGGCTCTGGAGTAGCTGGGATTACAGGCGTGTGCCATCACGCCCAGCCTGTGACTGCCTGCTAGGCCTGGACCAAGCTCAGGGAGGGAAGCAAGGCTCCGCGGGGAGCCCGCTGGCAGGGGTGGGGCGGAGCTCGGGCAGGGCCGGCCTCACCTCTGCAGCTTCCCCATGTTGTCTGACACCAGCATGCCGTTCTCCACTGGCTTGGCCTCCTTCCGCTGACCGCCAGGGCCGAGGGGCCCTGGGGAGACGCAGGGGGAGGAAGGCGGAGCTGTCACCCTCTGAGCAGAGGGACGCCACCTGGCCGCGGCTCGAGCAGACCCCAGACCTGGGGAGCCAGACCCCCCTTCCCCTCCTCCCTCCCCCCTCCCGCCCCTCAGCAAGCAGAGGCCTGCGGCAGCCGGCTCACAACACACACCCATGACTGGAGGAGGAGGGTTTCTGGGGACCGTGGCTGTGACCCCAGTAGTAAGGGGGTGCCACCATTTGAACTGACCAGGTGGCGGCCTGTGGGGTATCTGCCTGGTGTCTCCAATGCCCTCGGGACAAGCAGCACTGACAAGCAGGCCGCCAGCGCCAACCCAAAAGTGCCCATGTCACGCGCAGCCCCCAGACACTGCCCTGAACCCACGCCCGCGCAGACACACAGACGCAGACACAGACAGACACGCAGACACACAGACCTCCAAGGGAGGCGTGGAAGGCTAGCCCGGGGAGGTGGGTGGAGGGAGCCATGGGCGCAGGCCACGTGGGAGGGTCCACGGCCCAGGCCGGGGTGGCATTCACAGCACAGAATGCCATGGGGAGCCCCAGGACTGGGAGGAAGCGGGGTGCAGGCCAGCCCCACAGTGAGCGAGTTCCAAGCACCACGGCAGCCGCTGCTCAGGCGGGGGGGTGGAGGGGGGGGAGACTCCTCAACTCCTCGCTGTGGCCGTCCAGAGGCTCTACTGGCCCAATCATCCACAAGATGGGGTCACGCAGGGCTGAGTCCCGGGGACCCTGGGTGGCATCTGCAATGGCGCCGCCACCCAGCCTGCCCCACGTGCTTCGAAGGCCTCTGTGGAGACCTGGGGCCCTGGAGACACAAACTGAACCCCGGTACCACCGCAAAGCAACCTGGGCCGGGCCGCCTGGAGTCTACAAGCACCGGTGCGCAGCCGTGCCACTGACCTCCCGCCGCCTCCTCCGCTCCGCCGCCGCCTGTGAATCACAAGATGACAGCGCGCTAGCCTCCCCTGGGCCTCCACCTCCAGCCCGCGCCACGGGGAGGAAGGCGGTCCCCGCCCGATGCAGGCCCAGGGGGCAGTGCCCCCATACCCGAGCCAGCGCCTCCCCCCAAGAGCACAACGGCTCTATACCTAGTGCGCCACCCTGCACGCACAGCACACGGCACACGGGCAGGTGGACAGACCACTCTGGGAAGAGCCAGGGAACACGCTGAACCCCCCTTCCCACCCCCGCCCCCCACTAACCCCCCACCAGCCTCCGGGCCTCGCGGTGGCTGCCACAGCACTAACACGCCAGCCCGAAGCAAGGGGCATCATCAGCTCAGATTTGTTCTAATTGTCACCACTGGGAGCGCAGCAAAAGGACAGAGGACCACTAGCGGGAGTGAGGCCCAGGCACCAGGCGCTGGGAAGGTGGCTCAGTGGTAGAGCGCTTGCCTAGCATGCATGAAGCCCTGGGTTCCATTCCTCAGCACCACATATGCAGAAAAAGCCAAATTGGTGCTGTGGCTCAGGTGGTAGAGTGCTAGGCAGATGCTTTACCTACCACTTGAGCCACACCCTGGGACTTTTTTGCTTTGGCCTTGTGTTTTCACCAGGGGTGGCCATGGACCGAGATCCTAGTACCTCCATGTCCCATGTAGCTGGAAAGACAGGTGTACACTACCACGCCCAGCTTGTTGACACTGGGGCTCAGTACCTTTTACCGAGGTTTGCTAACATGGCCTTGCTCAGGAGGTGCTGGGACTCCTGGATGAGGGCCAGCTGGCCTCCCGGGAGAGAGAGGGAGGGAAGGAGGAAGGGAGGGAGAGGATTCCCAGAGACTGCTTTATGGTCAGCACCAAGCTTTTGCCCAAACATGGAACTGCCCGGCTGCCTCACCCAGCCTCACCCCCAGGGGCGGCCTCCAAGTTCTCCTTCCCGAGGAGGAGGACAGGCAGCTGAGAGGGAGAGAGAGAGGGAAGGAGGGAGGGCGGGCAGCTCCGCCCCGCACTCAAGGCTTTTTGGTAAAGCAAGAAGAGGAAGAAGGAGGCACTGGTGGCTCATGCCTGCCATGGTAGCTGCTCAGGAGGCTGAGGTGGAAAGACCGAGAGTTCAAGGCTAGCCCAAGCAAATTTAGGGTGACTGTCTCAAAAGAATGCCACGTGAGCAAGAAGGCTGTGGGCATGGCTGTCCGGCAGGCGCGAGGCCCTGGCTTCAATCCCCAGTGACTAATGACAGAGAGCCTGGCGCACAGGCCACCGTGAAGAAACAAGACGGAGGAGGGGGGAGAGGGAGGGGGGAGGAGGAGGGCAGAGACTGCAGGTGTACCCTGTGGGAGCAAGACCCAGGGCAGGGCCAGGAGGGCGCCCAGCGCCCCCCGGAGGTGGGGATGGAAGGACCCCCCCCCCCCCGTCTCCCCCCCCCCCCCCCGCTCTGGCTTTTGAGGCTTGCTTCCGCTTGAGAACGTCTGCTCTGTGCACCTGAGTAGCTTTCAATCCGTTTTTACAAATTCACCAGAAACCGGGCGGCCGCCCCCCTCTGGCTGTGACCCTCAGATGGGCTGGCCACTGGTCAAGTCTGCTCCCCACTGAGAGCCCCCCCTTCCCCCCATGAGGCTGGGCTTCCTGCAAATCACAGGGATGGGCGCTGACTTCCCCTGGCGATGGTGAGCCCCGGCCCCAGGAAACAGGAGGACACCCCCGCAGTGCCCGGCCTTCCCCAGGCAGGGATGACGCTAACACGCCCCTCCATACACCGTACAGACTCAATACGGGGGGGGGGGCACTGGCAGCGCCCCAAAACTCTGAGTGCACCCCGGCAGACCCCCCACCCCGTGCGCTCGGAATCCACCTGCGTGGTGCAGCCAGCCAAGTCTCCCGGGCGCGGGCCAAAAGCGTGGAGCACTCGCAGCCAAGGTCACGGCTGGGGCCGGCCGAGGCTGAGCGCCCGGGACGTGGCCGCGTGCCCAGCCCCGTGTCACACAGCGGGCAGGGGACGGGAGGCCACCCACCTAGCCCATGGCCCGAGCCGGGGCCCGTGTGGAAGGCAGGAATATCTGCAGGGAAAGTGGCGTTCTCGTGGCCAAATGAAGCAGAGAACAAAAGGAGATGGGGGCACCAATCCGGGGGTCGTGGGGGAGGAAGGAGGGCGTGGGGGAGGAGGGAGGGAGGGGAGGAGGGAGCCCCTGAGCCAGTGGAACCCAAGGCTCTGGCTCAGCTGGAAGAAGGGGGAGGCCGAGAGGGAGCCACAGGAAGATGGCCTCCACTGGACACACGGATTTAGAAACAGCTCGCCCAGCCTCTGTCTCTGAAGAGACTGAGACACAAGGCTGCAGCCAACAACAAGGCCGCCAGACTCACAGACAGCAGGACTTCCTGACCTCCAGGGCACGGACAGGGGAGACTGAGCGCCAAGTGGCAGACTCAAGTGGCAGAGCCCAAGGCCCTGGGTTCAATCCCCAGTACGGTGGGGGGAGGGGGGGCTAATGGCCAAGGAGAAGAATCAGCTCAAAAGCCAGGCCGTGGATGAGCCTGGGGACACAATGCGATGGGGACACAGGTCCCTCCGCCGACGGGCAGGGGGGGACCCCAGGCTCGGGAAGGGAGTCCAGAACCCAGGGTAAACAGTGGGCAGACAGAAAGGGCCTGCGGGCGGCCCGGGCTGCCCTCCTGGCGGCCGCCTGCGGCCCAGTGCCTCCGGGAGCGGCGGGGGACCCCTCCCCGGGGACCCCCGCAGGCTTACCCTCGTCCTGCTCGGAGGCGGCGTAGGCGCGCAGGAACTCGGCGAAGGCGCCGTCCCGGGCCAGCAGCTCCTGGTAGGAGCCCATCTCCGAGACCTTGCCGCCGCTCATGACCACGACGATGTCGGCCTGCGGCAGGTAGCTGAGGCCGTGCGTCACCAGCAGCCGCGTCTGCGGGCGCAGCGGGCGCGGGCGTGAGGGGCGCGGGGTGCGGGCGCGGGCGTGAGGGGCGCGGGCGCGGGCGTGAGGGGCGCGGGCGTGAGGGGCGCGGGCGTGAGGGGTGCGGGCGTGAGGGGCGCGGGCGTGAGGGGCGCGGGCGTGAGGGGCGCGGGCGTGAGGGGCGCGGGCGTGAGGGGCGCGGGCGTGAGGGGCGCGGGCGTGAGGGGCGCGGGCGTGAGGGGTGCGGGCGCGGGCGTGAGGGGCGCGGGCGCGGGCGTGAGGGGCGCGGGCGTGAGGGGCGCGGGCGTGAGGACTGCGGGGCGCGGGCGTGAGGCGCGCGGGGCACGGGGCGCAGGCGCGGAGCCCCGGCCGGGCCGGGCCTGCGGGGCGCGGGGCGTGGGCGGGGCCCGTGCTGCCAATGCGGGGCAGCGGGCACGGGGCCACAGGAGGGCGCGGCCTGGCCTGGGGTCACCCCCTGCCCGCCCCCGACCCCCGCACGCCGCCCCGCGTCCTCCCGCAGCGCCCAGCAGGTACCTTGTTCTTCAGCAAGCCCTTGGGGCCGACCACGTGCTCAAAGATGTGCTTGCCCACGTGCGCGTCCACGGCCGACAGCGGGTCGTCCAGGAGGTAGACGTCGGCGTCGCAGTACACGGCGCGGGCCAGGCTCACCCGCTGCTTCTGGCCCCCAGACAGGTTCACGCCCTGCGGGGCGCCGGGAGGGAGGGCGGGGTGGGTCTCGGGGAGCACTGGGCGGGGCCGGGGGCGGAGCACAGGGAGGTGGGTGGGACCTGGGGCGGAGCCCAAGGAGGTGGGCGGGGCCGGGGCGGACCACAGGGAAGTAGGTGGGACCTGGGGCACAAGAAAGTGGGGCGGGGCCTGGCGGAGCACAGGGAGGTGGACGGGGTGAGGGGCAGGGAGGTGGGCGGGGCCTGGGCGGGGCACAGGGAGGTGGGCGGTGCCTGGGGCGCAGCACAGGGGGTGGGCGGGGCCTGGGCAGGGCACAGGGAGGTGGGCGGTGCCTGGGGCGCAGCACAGGGAGGTGGGCGGGGCCTGGGCGGGGCACAGGGAGGTGGGCGGTGCCTGGGGCGTAGCACAGGGGGTGGGCGGGGCCTGGGCAGGGCACAGGGAGATGGGCGGTGCCTGGGGCGGGGCACAGGGAGGTGGGCGGTGCCTGGGGCGGGGCACAGGGAGGTGGGCGGTACCTGGGGCGGGGCACAGGGAGGTGGGCGGGGTCAGGGGGCAGGACTCAGCAGCCGAGGCCCAGGGTGGCCTGGTAGGGCAGAGCCCTTCAGGCCTCTTGTCTGTCCAGTCAAGCCCAGGGCAGACACCACTGCCACGCGGTTCTAGAGGGCCAGCCTTGGGCACTAGGAGCTAAAGGCTGAGGCTGGCACTGGAGCTAAAGGGAGGAGGCCGCGGCACCCTGGCCTTGACTCCACGGGACACACTTCCTAGGGCATCAGCTTGAGATCCCGGCTGAAGCCGAAGATGCCTGAGAGGGGACTGTTTTTTTTTTCCAAGGAGCCACAGATGTCACCAGTTACGTGACATCATTCACCAAATACCGCTGCTGGCGAGCCTGGCTGTCCTCTAAGGATGACTGGCCAGCTCTGCAAGCTGAGGCCGCCTGAGGCGCTGCGCTCCCGGCCGCAGGCAGGGGGCGCTGGCACGCCGGCGGCCAGAGGCGGCCAGGGGCCTCCAGGCCCAGGAGGGCACCTTGGGAGGCCCAGGAGGGAGGCCAGGGGAGGGGCAGCACCAGATCGGGGGCTGTGGCAGTGGGAGATGCCCAAACAGCCTCTCTCTTTAGAAGCGACAAGGGTTTCCCCTGGTGCCTGGTGGTGCCTGCCTGTCATCCTGGCCCTGGGAGGCCGAGGCAGGAGGATCACAAGTTCTAGGCCAGCCTGGGCTATGTATCAAGAGTATCTTACAAAACAAAACCTCCAGCCAGGGCACCAGTGGCTCACGCCTGACATCCTAAGTACTCAGGAGGCTGAGATCTGAGGATTGAGGTTCAAAGCCAGCCTGGACAGGAAAGTCCAGGAGACACTTATCTGCAACGAACAATCAAAAAGCCAGAAGTGGCACTGTGGCTCAAGTGGAAGAGTGGGACAGTGCTCAGGCCCTGAGTTCAAGTCCCAGGAGCAGCAAAAACAATAAAACCTCAAAACAACAACATAAAACTAATAGAAAAATGGAGCAGCCGACAAGAGGGATAGGGAGGCTGCCTCCACTTGGCTCCCAGGCTGTGCAGCCTGGAGCAAGTCACTTGACATCTCTGTTCCTCCCCTTCCCCAACCATTAAATGGGTCCACAACGAACTCCGCCCCTGGGGGGTGGGAGGACAGCCGGCACCCGGGTCACCAGAGGTGACACTGCTTTCTGGGAGCTGTGCACAGGTCTGGCCCACACCTCGGTGGAGGCCGCGGATCACCACCCACTCCCAGCCCGCGGCGGGCGAGCGGGCGATGGCGCGGCGGGACGCCGTGCTGACCTTCTCGCCGATCTCGGTGCGGTCCCCGCTGGGGAGGATCTCCAGGTCGGGGAGGAGGGCGCAGGCCTCCAGCACAGCCCGGTAGTGCCGCTCCCGCAGGGGCCGGCCGAACACGATGTTCTCCCGGAGGGAGTCATTCTGGATCCAGGCCTGCTGGGGCACGTAGGCCACGGAGCCCTGCGGGGCGGGCAGACAGGGCGAGACAGACAGACAGATGGACCTGGTCAGCTGACGGTGGCTGCCCGCCCCAGCTGCGGCCCCAGTGCATGTGTAGAACAGGGAAGATGGAGGGGAGGATGGAGGGGACAGAGAGGAGGGAGGGAAGGGGAAAGGGAGGGGGGAAGACGAGAGGATGGGAGGGAGGATGGGGGGGAGGCCAGGGGGAAGATGGGGGAGGATGGAGGGGAGGACGAAGGATAGGAATGCCAAGGGAAAATCAGTCTTTGAGAGTGGGAAGGTGGCTCAGTGGTAGAGCGCTTGCCTAGCTCGCATGAAGCCCTGGGTTCGATTCCTCGGTACCACATACACAGAAAAAGCCAGAAGTGGCGCTGTGGTTCAAATAGTAGAGTGCTAGCCTTGAGCAAATGAAGCTCAGGGACAGTGTCTAGGCCCTGAGTTCAAGCCCCAGGACTGGCAAAGAAAAAAATAACCAGGGGCTGGGAAGGTGGCTCAGTGGTAGAGCGCTTGCCTTGCATGCATGAGGCCCTGGGTTCGATTCCTCAGCATCACATAAGCAAAAAGAAAAAAGCCAGAAGTGGCGCTGGGACTCAAGTGGTAGAGCACTAGCCTTGAGCTGAAGAGCTGAGGGACAGCGCCCAGGCCCAGAGTTCAGGCCCCACAACCGACAAAAAATAAGGGAGTCAGTACGTTCCCGGCCTCCTGTACCGGGTTCAGTTCTCGGGGCTGGGCTGCGGGAAGCCATGTGTGGCCAGGGAAGCAGCAGGGCGTCGAGGACAAGAATCTCGGTGTCCTCAACCGTCCCATGAACCGGGGTGGCAGCCGGTGGGGCGGGGGGGGGGGGAGGCCCACGGGGTGGGGGTGGGGGGGCTGTCCGCCCCCGTCCTACCTTCAGAGCCACGTGCCCCTCCACCTTGTCCATCTCCGCCAGGAGGGCCGAGAGCAGGGACGACTTCCCGCAGCCCACCTGGCCCACCACGGCCACCAGGGCACCTTCGGGGACGGAGAAGGAGATTCTGGAAGGACAGGGAGGGGGCGGGACACGGGGCTCAGCGGGTGGTAGGGGCCGGGGCAGCGTGGGGGCCCATGCGTGTCCGTCTCTCGGGGCCTCCGTGTCTCCGTGGCAGCCCTGGGTGGCGGGCAGGGTGGCGTGGGGTGCATCAGGGCTGGGAGGGCCTGTGTAGGGCTTGGGCCCGACATGCTCTGACTGCACCCCAGACGAGGCTGGGGGGGGGATACGCACACCCAGAACCCCGGCTGCTCTGAAGGCGGAGATGAGGACAAGTTAACGACACCAAGAAACTGGGGAGAGCACAAAGGATTTCCACGAGGCCCCAGAAAGCGCTTGCTGGACGTGCGCTCCCGCGGGAGTTCTCAGTGGAGGGTACAGGGAGATTCCTTTCTGGGATCAGTGTGTCCCCTTCTTGCCCTCCGTAGGCAGGCGGGCCGGGAGGAATTGTTTAGGGACACGAGAAGGTCCCCTTGGCCTTGAGTATTGGGGAGCCCGGGCCGAGAGAAAGGTAAGACCCGGACAAGGTGCTCAGCACCCCAACCCACTTGTCAGGCGCTGGATCACACCGGACCTGAAGGCAGGCCTCCCCGCCACGCAGGCCCCAGGTCCCCTCGGCTGTCTACCTGTGACCTCTGCGCCAGCCACCTGTCTGTCTGTCCCCATGAGAGCCCACGCACGGGCGGCTGGACCGGCCGGCGTTCCAGATGGGCCAGCCGAGGCTTTGTTAGCACGGAGCCACGCGCTCTAGGCCCCGGAGCTGGGTCCGCATGTGTGCCGGCGCCCTGGCTTACCCGTTCAGGGAGGGAGTTTCGCCCCTGGCCCACGTGAACGTGGCGTTCTTCAAGGTGATGCTGTGCGTGTCCCCGCCTGGAAAGCATCAGAGACCACGGTCAGGCCGGCACGACCCGGGCAGTGGCGTGAGCGGGCCGCCCCGCCGCTCTGCTCAGCCGCGCGCTCCGGCCTCGGATGCTGGGCCTCGCGCACCAGCCTCCGGGGTCACTGCCCCCAGCCCAGGCTCCGGGTGGCCCCGTCCATGGCTTTCCCGGCTCCGGTGGAGCCCAAGGGGTGGGGAGGAAGAAATAAACCCCACTGCACATCTTTGGAGGCAATCTTAGACCCCAAAGCAGAGAGAAGTCCTGAGAGTCCGCCCGGTGCTCTGGCCGTGCCCTGGAGATGCCCAGCCGGCAGCCGCTGTGGGGCTGTGGGATCCACAGTTGCTCGAAGCTCCTGGGCTTCCTGGCCTTCTCAAGCAGGTCAGGGGCAGCTCGGCTGCCATCACACCCACCATCGCACCCACCTCTGCGCCTTCCTCCTGTTCAAGGCTGCTCCTTCCCTAAGCTCTTGGATCCTACATCGACCTCCCTCACCCCAATACAATCCTGCCCGCACCCTGCGGGAGGCCCGGGGAGGCCCTGTGGGCGCTGCTGCCCGCGGAGGAGGAAGGGCCAGGCAGGGAGGGGTGCGTGGGGCGGGGCGGGGCTCGTGGGGGGGGTGCCACCCACCGTCGTCCTTCATGGGCCTCCGCTCGATGCTATGGGGCTCCAGCTCCTCGTGGGACAGGAAGACCCTCAGCCGCTTGAGGGAGACGCTGGCCTGCGGTGCGGGGACGGGTGTGGGGAGGAAGGAAGGAAGGTTCTGGAAACCTGCCTTGGTGGCCAGGCCAAACCCTCCCTCTTTCCTCAGAATCTGCACTGAGCTTAAACAAAGAAAATCAAGCCGGGCGCTGGTGGCTCTCGCCTGTCATCCCAGCTTCTCAGGAGGCTGAGGTCTGAGGACCGGGGTTCGAAGCCAGCCTGGGCAGGAAAGTCCATGAGACACTGATCTCCCAGAAAACCGGAAGTGGCGCTGTGGCTCAAGTGGTAGAGCGCCCGCCTTGAGCTGAAGAGCTGAGGGACAGCGCCCAGGCCCAGAGTTCAAGCCCCATGACCGACAAATAATAACAACAAGGTTTCCTTCTTGCTCTGCGTGAAGCCCGCCCGCAGTGTGGACGCGGGGAGGCGAGGGGCTGGGTGAGGGCCGGGCTGTGACTAAGGTGGCGGCTGGGACTCGTGTTAAAATTCCTCAGCACCGAGGGGGAGATGGGGAACAGGATGGGGAGGCGAGGAGAGCGGAGCGGGCACCCGCAGCAGACGGGGTCCCGGGCCACCGGCCCCTCCGCTGCGTCCCACCGTCCGTGCCTGAAAGGCTTCTGTCTTCCCACCCGAGCTGAGAAGCCCCCCCTTCAGGGAGCCCCCCCCCCCAAGAAGCACAAAACCCCGGCTGGATGGGCCGGGGGCGCCCGGCAGGCCTGGCCGCGCTGCTGACCGCTCCGGCTCTCCCCGCCGGGCCGCTTTGCTCTCCCTGGGGTCGGGCGGGGGCTGGCGCGGGGAGGGAGAGCGGGCCGGGCCTCGAGGGCCCGCCTGCAGTACCTGCACGATGCTGCTGATGACCATGGGGAGGATGTTGAGAGGGAAGCGGAGGATGTTGAACAGGGCCAGGGACACGAAGGCCCGCTGCGCGTCCAGAATGTTCTTCTCGTCCACCATCACGTACACGGCGAAGGTGGACAGGGCCACCTGCGGGCGGGCGGGGCGGCGGGGGCTGAGCACTGTGCAGAGAGCCGCGGCCCGGTCCCCACACTGGCCTCCACTCTCCACCCCAGACACCCCCCCCCCCCCAGCCCCATGCGGCCCAGGCTGGCCTCCAACTTGCAATCCAGCCTCCACCTGCCCGAGTGCCTGGATTACAGGCATGCCCGCCACGCTTGGACTCCATCGTAATACGACTAGCTCTGAGCAGTGGGCCTTCTCCTGTCCCCACCGCATCGCCAGTGCCCGGGACGGCCCGGCCGCAGGGCCGAGGTGCGGGCTGGACACCCGGACTGCTCCCAGTGCCCGCCCGCCCCGACAGCATCCCGGCCACAGGCCAGCGGAGCCGCGGCCCTCTCCTGCTCTGCCACTGGCAAGGTGACCCCAAGGCCAGCTCGGAATTTTCCAGGCGCAGCTGCCAAAGGGGGAGGGGCGGGGCTGGAAAGCCACTGGAAGCCGGGCGCCCATCACCCCAGCTACTCAGGAGGCTGAGATCTGAGGATCGGCGTGCGAAGCCAGATCTGGCAGGAAAAAAAATCTGTGGTAATTCTTATCTCCACTTCACCGCCAGAAAGCCAGAACTAGAGCTGGGGCTCAAAGTGGCAGGGTGCTGGCCTTGAGGGAAGGAGCCCGGGGACAGCGCCCAGGCCCCAACTTCAAGCCCACGAGTGGCTTCCAATCAGCCTCAGACCCAAGACAGACAGAACCAGAGTCGGGGACAGCGCCCAGGCCCCAACTTCAAGCCCACGAGTGGCTTCCAATCAGCCTCAGACCCAAGACAGGGAGGGCCTTTCACCCCCAGTTAGCTGGCTTGCTCCCAGCTGGTGCTCTACCGCATGAACCAGGCATCCAGGCCAGCATTTTGCTAGTTAGCTGCAGATGGGACTCTCTTGCTCTTCTCTACCTGCCTGGCTTCAACCCTCTAGAACCCATCAGGTCTCAGTTCCGCGTGGGAGCCACCGCCACCTGGCTTGCATTTTTAAGCATTTTCCACTGCTATGTGGAAAAAAAAATCTGAGAACTGTGCGTGTTAACCACGCGCCCGGTGACGCTCTGACCGGGTGATCACCGTGCGGTGTCCGGGTCGGCCAACGGCCCGCTGCCCTCCCCCCTGCTCCTTGCATCAGAGACAGGAGCTTCCTGTGTGGCCCAGGCTAGCCTCAAACTCTCCAGTCCCCCCCCCCCCGCCCTCAGGCTGGGACTACAGGGATGCCCCCCACGCCCGACAGCGTTCATCCTCTCTTGAAGCTGATGACACTCAGTGCTTCCTTCCCGGCTTTCTGCACTGTTCTGCGCATGTCTGTTTTCTGTTGTCAGTCCCTCACTTCACCCCCCAGCACCAGCTTGTGGAGATGGCCTCCTCCCCCCACCTTCCCCTCCCAGAACCTGCCACACAAACCCACAGAGTAGAAAACACACATGGAGTAGTATTCAGCCCGGAAGAAGGTGGTTCCCCTGGGTGCCACCCAGTGGAACCCTGGGAAACTCCTGCTAAGACAAAGCGGAGACTAGGACCGGCCGTCACGTTGGATCCCACTGGCGTGAAGTGTCCTGGCGGGTTCCGTGCGCACACCTCACACAGAAACACTAACAACACCCTCTCCTACGCTTCGTGTGTACTTCAAAATTCCCCTCTGCTTTGCGCTCCGAGTTAGGTCTCTATCGTGTGGAAGACAGTTCTGGGCGAGCCCGAAAATCCAAGCTGGGAGACCCCCGAAAGGACGGGGGGTTGGAATGCCTTCTCCCCACACACGCTCAGAACGCTGACAGTTTTCCTGGAAAGGTCGATCATCCTGGCTCACCAGGAACTCAGACTCCACACTGCACCGCGTGTGGGAGCCAAAGGGTAGACTTAGCTCCATGCAAATGACAGGCTGCTCACTGTTTAGCTCTCCTTCTAGAAAAGGGATGTCACCTACCAGTCACACACAACGTATGGTCCCAAGCCGGTTTGCACCCTACTTCCATGTACAAAACCAATAAAAACCCCAGTTAATGGAACCTTGGGATCTGTTGCTGGCAGAAGGCTACAGGCCACCTGGTACCCCCAAATCTCAGTTGCACGGTCCTGTCTCTGTACTGTGTTGCTCCCGGTCATGGTGGATTAAGGAGTATGCAGCGGGTTGCAACAAGTTCCTAATGCAGGTAGTTCATCTATCCATCCATCCATCCATCCATCCATCATCCATCATCCACCCATCATCCATCAATCCATCCACCCATCATCCATCCATCCACCCACCATCCACCCATCATCCATCATCCATCCACCATCCCTCCCTCCCCTCTTCCCTCCCTCCCTCCTTCCCTCCTCCCTCCCTGCTGCTCTCTGAGACGCCCCACATCTCTGGGGCCACCCCAAGCCTCTGCCTCCCACCTCCCTGGGTAAACAGCCCCATCCTCGAGCGTTGGAAGCAGTAAATGCCAAGATGAGGGAGCACTCTCTGGGGAGGAGTGGCCACAGATTTTCCCCGAGTTCGTCACAGTCAGGGCCGACAGCCGGCTCCTCTGCTCCTTGCCAGCCCGGCCACGAGCTGTGTGCGGAGCCCAGCCACCCCTCCCGCCCACCGCGATGGCGTGGCGGGTTCGGAGGCCAGCAGGCCCCGCTGCTCTGTGCGGAGCCCCCCCACGGGGACCCGGGCAGGAAAGGGTGGAGCATGGCCCCAGAGGTTGCATTAGAACCACGCCGGGCAGGCATGCCTGCAGTCCCAGCGTGTGGGAGCTGGAAGGCAGGTGAGCGGGGAGCCAGCCTCACGGGGAGACTCCGGCTCATCGGACAGACAGAAGGAGCGGAGTACGGTTTGGAAGACACAGTAGAACACGCCTCTGTCTGTCTGTCTGCCCGTCCCTCCGTCCCAGGTGGGCGGGCCCGAGCCCGGGCAGGGCGGAGGCGCTGGGCTGTGAGGAGGACATCACGCCATGGCCCTCCAGCCAGCGTGCCAGGACACGGAGTCCCAGCACACCGAGGCTCTGCCCGGGCCGTGCCAGCCCGAGGGGGTCAGGTGACGTGGCGCGTTCAGGGCGCGCGCGGGGAGCAGGCGGCGGGCAGCAGGGCAGCAGCACCAGGCGGGTGGTCTCCAGGACCACCCCGGGCCCCACCAGGGATGGCCGCCAGCACCCAGCTCAGCTCCCTCCGGGCCCCGCCGGGAAAGAATCCCAGGAGGATTTGGTTCCTTCCCCATGATCCTCCTGATCTCAGATTCCCCCAGGAACTGGAAATACAGGCGTGAGCTCCCGTGCCCAGCGGACCGGGCTACAGGGCACAAGCGGTGTGACCGACCGTGGCCACGGGCTGTGGGACACAGCTGCCCGTCAGTCAGGCGTGGAGACGAAACCCCCCTCCCCCGCCCCGGCTCGCAGGGCAGGGAGGAAGAAGGAAGTGGCCCTGCGCGGTCCACGGGTCACTGACCGCTCGAGGCTTGTGGCCAGTCGGCGACACGTCACCCAGGCTACCGTCTGCTACAGCCCCGGCCAACCAGGGTAGAACTGGCAGAGGCGCTGGCGCATGCTCCCAAGAGGTCAGCAAGCACAGAAGCACAATGTGCTCCGGGAAGAGGGGGGGCCACTCACCAGGAAGGGGGTGCAGACCCAGGTGAAGGTGCCCACGGCCGCCAGGTAGGCGGATTTCTTGAGCACCTTCAGCTCCTCCTGCCGGATGGCCATGACCTTGTCCCGGAACGCCAGCTCCCAGGCGTACAGCTTCAGCACCTTGATGCCGTTCAGGACCTCGTTCATCAGCTTGATGCGGCTGTCTTTGCTCTTCATGTGCGCCACCTGCAGACGAGACCCCCATCAATGGGCCAGCCCCCCCCCCCCCCAGCCCTGACCCCAGGCCTAAGCCAAAGCTGCTTCAAACCACATTGCCTGGGAGCGCAGGGATGGATGGAGGGTGCTCCCGACATACCCTCCTTCCCAGCATGCCCCCCTTCCCAGCATGCCCTCCGCTGGTCCTCGCCCAGAGGCACGGACGATCCTGCCCTCTCCACTTTTCTGTCAGTTGTGGGACTTGAACTTAAGGCCTGGGCGCTGTCCCTCAGCTCTGTGGCTCAGGGCGAGCGCTCTACCACTTGAGCCACGGGTCCACTTCAGGTTTTCTGGCGGTTCCCTGGAGATAGAGAGTCGCATGGACTTTCCTGCCCGGGCTGGCTTTGAACCTCGATCCTCAGATCTCAGCCTCCTGAGTGGCTAGGATGACAGGCGCCGGTGCCTGGCCAGCTCTCCAGCTCCTTTCTGCACCCGTTGTTTTTGAGACAGGGCCCTACTTTATGTCCGGGCTGGTCCGCTCTCTCACGCCTCCCGGGGGCCCTGGCCTGTGGAGCGGCAGGGCTGTGGGCATTAGCGGGTGGAATGCCATCGGCCTCACCCAGGGGCCGGGCAGTTTGCTCAGCATTTCGAGTGCACTCAGCCATAGTTGCTCAACTGGACCGTACCAGATGGTATGGGGAATCACAGGCAGAGAGGGAGCTGCTTGACGTGGAGGGGGAAGGGGAAGACAGGACACGGGGTCTGGCCCCCACGCCCGGGAGTGTCACGTGTCCTGGACTCTGCCCCCTGTGGTGGTCAGCATGGCCAAGCGCTCCTGTCCACAGCCCACCCCCCACCCCGGCATAGCACAAACACCTCCAGACCAGCCGGATCTCAGGGCTGGACTAGAACTGAATTCATACAACACAGCCCAGCACGGGAGCAAATGGCACGCGCAAGAACATTACAGAAGCACAGAGATGCATGCCAACCCTCTCTATAGCCAGATCTGTATTTAAGAAAGTTAAGTCCTGAAAGCAGGAAGATGGCGTGTGAGCGGCCAGAGCTTCCAAGAGAGCTCCTACCTTAAAAATAAGGACCAAAGTTTTAGAAAGACTGTTTTAGCTCACGCCTGTCATCCCAGCTACTCAGGAGGCTGAGGGCTGAGGATCGCGGTCCGAGGCCAGCCAAGGCCGAAAAGGCTCCATGAGACTCTTATCTCCAATGAACCACTCAAAAACCAGAAGTGGCACTGTGGCTTAAGTGGTAGAGCACTCGCCTTGAGCACCAAAGGGGCTCAGGAACAGCATCGGGGCCCTGGGTTCAAGCCCCACAACTGGCCAAGAAAAAAAAAAAAAAAAAGAGAAAACCTTCCCTTTATTGTTAGTTATTTAAAAGCCAACAAATTACAAAGGAACTCCAGAAATAAAAAGATCTGACCCAATGGAAAGAGAGTGGATGGGACACACAGGCCAGGGGGCAGGAGGCCTCTCAGCAGAAAGCCCTGGAACAGCGTGGGGGGGGGGGGGGGCGTGCCCAGCCTTCCCCCCCCCCAACCCGCCCCCCCCCCTCCCCCCGTGAGGGACTCGCGCAGCCTACCTGGTAGGTCTTGGTCTTCATGGCCATCACCGCGTTGAAAGGCACCATGAGGATCATGACGGCCACGCCCGCTAGGACGGAGGGGCCCAGGTTCTGAGGGATGACAGGTGGGCGTGGGCAGAGCGCCCCACCAGCCCACACCCCACAGACACCGCCAACACCCCGACACCCACCGCGATGGGGCGGTGGCGGGCTGCAGCCCTGGGGTCCCTCCCAACCTCTCGGAATAGGCGGGACCCAAGTCCTCGGGGTCCCCACGCTGAGGAGGGAGAAGCGCGGAATTCTGGGTAGCCGAGGGGCACGGGTGGGAAGGGCGTTTCTGGCTGGGGAGGAGGGCTGGGGACTTGTGCGTCGAATGGCGGCTTCCCTTTGGAGAAGCTGGCGTTTGTGGGGCTCCAGGGCCCCACACAACCAGCTCATGATCCCTACCCGGGATGGGGGGGGGGTGGCAGCCCCTCACTGGCTGCTGAGCTAGGCAAGCCCCGAGGGTTCCGGGTGCGGGGCCTCGTGGGCTTCACCCCAGCACTGCACCCTGCCATGGCTGCTAGTGGAAGGGCGACCCGTGTGCTGCGGGGTTCCCCTAGAGGGCCAGCACGGCGTAACTCAGCGTGGGGCGCTCTGGGGATCACAGACACCCGAGCCGTTCAGCCTGGATTCTGCCACTAACGGAACCAAGCCAGCTTTGATCTCCAGAGCCTCCGAGGGCGGGACATGCGGCTGGACACCTGTCATTCCAGCTACTCAGGAGGCTGCGATCGAAGGACTGGGGTTCAAGGCCAGCCTGGGCAGCAGAGTCCCACAAGACTCTTTTATCTCCAAGTAAGCACACACCGCACGCGCGCGCACACACGCACGCACGCACCAGCCACAAGAGATAGAGCGCCAGGGCGACCTGCAGCGGGGCCGACCACACCATGTTAATGTACGTGGCCAGGTCCATGAAGCGCTGGGCGTCCACCGACATGAGGTTCACGATCTCTCCCACGGTGGACGACTTCCGGGCGGCATTGGTGATCACTAGGGCCTGAGGGGGGACAGAGAGGGCGGGGGTGAGCCCGGTGGGCGAGGAGCCCCGGACGGGAGGGAGGATCCGCAGCGGAGTCCCGGCCTCTCCCCTGCCCCCGCCCCTCCACAAAGCCCAGGCCCCGGGGGACGGAAGCTCTCCTTCGGTTCAGGGGGTCCCAACGGTCCCCACATCCAACAGATCCCCGGGGGGCCCCACAAGGCCTGGTCCCCTGGCAATGGAAGTGAGGTCATTGTGCGTGGCAGCCCCCCGGGCGTCCCCCGTCTCTGGCAGCACTGCGGTGTGAGCTGGGCCTCGCTGGGCCTCGCTGGGCCTCGCTGGGCCCAGGCTGGCGCTCCGCCTCGGGAGCCACGTGTGCTTTGCGCGGGGAGCCTCGGGCTGCCGTCTCCAGGGCTGGCCTCCTGTAATCTGTGCGGCCCCCGCTGGAATTACAGGCGTGTACCGCCATGCCTGGCCGGATGCTTTTTGGAGTTGCCCGGGTGTGCCACTGCCCAAGGATGGGCGGGCAGCGTGAAGACTTGGAGCTGAGCTTCCCCCCGCCCCCCGCGCCCGCATCCCGGGTCCCGACCTTGCGGTACACGGCCCCGATGACGGCGGTCTTGATGCGCATGCCGCTGACAAAGCAGATGTGGAAGTACTGGTGCAGCAGCAGCGTCTGCAGGCAGGCGCTGACGAACAGCAGCGCCGTATAGAAGTAGCCCTGCCAGTCGGGGGCCCGTGGGTCGTTTATGAAGGCGATGAGCCACCTGCAGGGAGATGGGACCCAGCGGCGTCAGCCTGGGCAGGCGGCACGCACGCGCCCGGGGGGGGGCTCGGACCCCCCTCTGCCTGGGGGGGGGGTCCTCACCCACAGAGGGGGTGAGGGACAGTGACTGTGGGGCCCCTAGAGGCAGCGGGGAGGAAGAGAGACCCTCGCCTTGATCCATGCCCGGTAGCTGAGGTCTGCCTGTAGTCCCAACCCTTCGCCCCCCCATTGTGGCGGGGGGAGGGCTGGGGGCGCAGAGGGGTGGGCTCGTACTTGAGGATCTCGGGGCCGGTGAACATCATGAGGTCGTGGAGGGCCTTGAACAGGAAGCTCATGAGGAAGTGGGGCCCGAAGGTCTTGTAGAGCACGCGGAAGAGGGAGGGGTCGCGCTCCTTCTGGGGGGCCTTGAGGAGCAGCGCCTCCGCCTCCTCGCTTGCGTCCGCCGGGGCGCCCCCTTGGGGCTTGGGGGGCTCCTTGCTGGAGTACTGGATGCGCACCGGCTGCCTGCAGCGCAGCAGAGGGAAGAGCTGGGGGGGGGGCTGCCTGGGGGCCGAATCGCACCCCGAGATCGGACCCGCCTGCAGCGGCCAAATCGCACCCCGAGACCGGACCCGCCTGCAGCGGCGACAGGCGCTGAGGTCCCGCCGCCGCCACCACTGCCACGCGGTCACCAAAGGCTCGAGTGGGAGGGGACGCGGAGGCCCCACTGCGCGCCGCACGCGGCGGGATCACACGCTGTCAATGTGGGACCGAGACACTTAGCACACGAGACGCCGTGCCCGTGCGCTCGCTTCTAGAAGCATCTGTACAAGTCGGCACAGCTGCATGAGTCAGACTTGGGGGAGATGGTGCGGGAAGGGGAGTGGCACGGAGAAATCCCTTCAGAGAGCGGAGGGGAGGGGGGGGGGGAGGGAGGGCAGGGGAGGGGAGGGCAGGGCAGGGCAGGGGAGGCTACACTCCAGTCCAGGCTGAGGCTGGGAGGGAGGCCCATCCCAGAGTCCTCCCCCTGGGTCCCAGCCTCGTCTCCTCTCTCTGCTGGAAAACAGCGGCTCTGCCTCCACCTCCCCCACCGCTCCGGCCCCGCCTGACCCCCCACACACACCCCTAACCCCTGCTGCTCCGCCCCCCTCACCCCACGGATGCCACCCTGGCTGCCTCAGGACCTTTGCACTGGCGCTTCCCTCTACGGAAGCCCTTCCCCACCCTGCTCCCAAGGGGCCGGAAGAGCAGGAACATTCGGGAGGCCACTCTCGGGGAGCAGAGGTGAGGAGAGGTGCGCTCGGGGGCTGGGTAGGCACCCCATCTGGCGGGTGTGGGCTCACCTGCAGGACTTGGCACACTCCTTCTTCCAGTTCCTCACCAGCACGGGCACCACCTGCTCCGACGTGTCCTCCTTGTTCAAGGACCAGAGGTCGCTGGCCTCCAGGGGCCGGCGGTACCCCCGCACCATCAGCCTGGCCCAAGACATGGGGGGTTAGAGGGGCGGGAGGAAGGGGAGGCCCGCTGGCACGCCTGCCCTGCGCGACCTGATCACGCGCAACCTGGAACCCACGCCCCGGCAAAGGCACTGGGGCTCCGGCAGGCAGAGTGGGCGTGTCTTCACAGAGGCCCGCCCCCACACTGGCTACAGGGATTTGAACCGAGGGCCTCGTGCGTGCTAGGCTGGCACTCTACCCGCTGCGCCATGACCGCGGGGCTCCGAGTTTCTCCCTCAACCCCGAATACACACGGCTGGCCGCCACAGGGTTTGCACCTCACTAGGCAAAACTGTAATCCCCCACTACTGGAGGCCGCAGAGAGGAGGACTGCAGGCCGAGGCCCAGCCTGGGAAAAAGCTGGCTGGGAAACACACTAAAAGCAAAAGGGCGCGGTGCACGGCTCCAGCGGCGGAATGTTCCGTCTGCCAAGTGTGAGGCTCTGGGTTTGATCAAACCTCAGACCACATAAAGCAAGCCGGGCTCCGGGGAGACGAGGCCAGGCATGGAGGCTGAGTGAGGCCAAGGCCTGGCTGAGTTTTGTTTTCTGAAATGCTGGGGACCGGGGGATGGGGGGGGGGGGGGAATCTGGGGCTACGCGCATGCACAGCAAGGGGTCGGCCCACAGCCCGCAGCAGGTGATGTGCGCGGGCCAGCGGCGGGCTGCAAGGCATGCTGGTCCTCCTGTAGCTTTTTTTTTTTTTTTTGGTTGGTCGTGGGGCTTGAACTCTGGGCCTGGGCGCTGTCCCTCAGCTCTTCAGCTCAAGACAGGTGCTCTACTGCTTGAGCCACAGCACCACTTCTGATTTTCTAGTGGCTCATGGGAAATAAGAGTCTCATAGACTTTCCTGCCTGGACTGGCTTTGAACCGAGATCCTCAGATCTCAGCCTCCTGAGTGGCTGGGATGACAGGCGTGAGCCACCGCGCCCGGCCTGTGTCTCTCTGCGGGTGTGGATGTGCTCAGAAGGAAACGCAACCCTGACGTGTCCACCGAGCCTGCAGAAGAGCCCCATGCCCCCCCCCCATTCCTGGGGTGTGCCGTGTCCCTGCCACCTGTCCACCTGTCCGCCTGCCAGTGCCTCTCCCCCTGTCCGAGGCTGCCCCACCCCCTGCTCACCCGCCCAGACCCATGGCCTGCGGGGCTGCGCACTCTCCCAGCCCCGCCCCGCCCCGGCCTGGGCGCGGCCTGCTCACCCGGTGATCCACCAGAACGTGATCCTGGACAGGAAAGAGGCGCCGGACTCCGGGCACGGGTTCTAGCACAGGGGAGCGCGGGAGGAGAGGAGAGACGTCAACCCTCCACGCTCAGGGGACCCGCGCCCTCCCATCGCCTCTGCGCCCCGAGACACGCTCTCTCCAGTCCCGCCTGGCTCAAGAACTTCCCTGCCTCCTACCCCACGGCCACCCCGGGAGCCGGGGCATCACCCTCACACCGCCTCCGCCTCCACTCCACAGCAAGCTTTCGCTGAGCACCTACTATGTGCCTGCCCGGCACAACACATTCCTTCCGCCCCGCCCTTCCCACAGACTCCGGCGTTGACTGAGCGCCTACTATGTGCTGAGGACACCCCAAAGAACCCCAAAGCTGTCACCTCCGTCTCCTTTCATTCAACTCATCCACCAGGTTCATTTCCTGAGCACCTACTACGTGCCCAGAACTATGGGTGCAGAGCTGGACAGATGGACGGGACGCCGGCCTGCCAGAGCGCTGACCCGGGACCCGCCACCGGCTCTGCGTGGGCACCTCCCACGACCGGGGCAGGGCCCGCCATGCCACGCTGCAGCGCAGGACACGGGGCCGCCCGGGATAAAATGCCTCCCCCCCCCCCCAACAACCAGGCTCCAAGTCGTCAGGCAGACCGCGCATGCGTGCGCGCACACACGCACATCTACACTGCAACTACAAGGGCTGCCCCCCAGGCCGGCAAGGCTGCCCCCCAGGCCGGCAAGGCTGCCCCCCAGGCCGGCAAGGCTGCCCCCCAGGCCGGCAAGGCTGCCTCCCAGGCCGGCAAGGCTGCCTCCCAGGCCGGCAAGGCTGCCCAGGCGGCCACGTCTGGCTGAGCAGGGCCGGAATCGGCCTCCCACGACAGCTGCGCAAGGACGGACCACGCAGAATGACTGAGCAGAAGGCAAAGACGCGCCTAGCAGAGAGCCCGGGTGTGCAAAGGCCCTGGGGTAGACGGGAGCACACCAGATTCCAGGGAACCAATGGAGAGCTGGACGCTGACCAGATGAGGAGGAGAAGGGAGGGGGAGAAGCCAGCAGAGCAGGAGGAGAAAGGGAGGAGAAAGAACAAGGAGGGAGGGAGGGAGGGAGGGAGGGAGGGAGGGAGGGAGGGAGGGAACAGACTATTTTTTGTAACATTTCTGAGCCAAGCTACTACGAAACTGAAGGAAGTATTCAACAATGGGAGCAAAGCTGGGCGGGTGGCTCCCGCCTGCAATCCCAGCTTCCCAGGAGGTTCACAAGGTCAGCAGACTCTTATTTCCAGTTCGCCACCACAAAGCCGGACGTGGAGCGGTGGCTCAAGGGGGAGAGCACCAGCCTCAAAAGCCAATGAGGATGCGTGGCCCCGGCCCTGAGTTCAAGTCCAGCATGGGGGAGGGGGGCCTGAGGCGGGGCTCACAGGTGGCCATTAATGACCTTATTTGGCAGGGACCCCCCCATCCCCATCCCCCCTCCCTCCGCCCACCCCCCTCGGGCAGAAGGGCTGGGGAGGGCTGCGGCGGCAGCATCAGGACTTGGAGGGAGAAGGAGGAGCAGGAGAGCGGGGACGAACAGACGTGAGTCACAGAAAGGAAGGCCGGGGCCAGCGGGGCGAATGGCCGCGGTGAGTCAGCACTGGCCGGCGGCCAGGAGGCCCCGCCCCGCCCCGGGCTGAGGCCTGCAGTTGTGCCAGCTGCTCAGATGGGGGGGATGGGTGGAGGGGGATGCAGCCCGCACCCCCTCCCTCCCTTCCTGCTACCCCAGAACCCTGTGGGGACCGTGGGCACCTGAGGTCCCAGCCACCGGGAGGCTCGAGGCCGGCCTGCGCAGAGACCTCAGCGCCAGCGACGGCCGGGCGTGGCGGCGCACGCCTGCGGCCCCAGCCCAGTCACAGGAGCATCCTTGCACACACGTGCGCCAAGCAGACACGAGGCCTGACCTCACCTCCGAGAAAGCCCAGGCAGACCGATCCTCCAGGGGAGCCCCCGGGGGACGCAGTCACCTTCGGAGCAACCCCGGGGGGTTCCGTGTGGGCTTGTGTGCGGGCCAAGGCCGTGACAGACACGGGCATCCCTGCAGAGGGCTTGTGGGGGGGACACCTGTGCACACCCAGCACGCGCACACTCAGCTGAACACACGTCCACGTGCACACGCAGCTGCTGAGCTCGGCTAACTTCCCCAAACCCAGAGAGCAGGGACACCGAGAAACTTCTCCCCAAGCCGGCAGCTGGAGAGCCACCAGCCCAGTGCAGCTGTGGAATGTTCCACACGCTTCCCATCCGCCGAGGCTTCGGATCCAAACAGCTGGCACGGCCTCCCCTGCCTCGGGTCCCAGCACAGGGCTGCCCTGAAGATCCCCTGAAGATCCTGCCTGCCGCCAACCGCCGCTACCCCACCCCACCCCAGGGCCTTTGCACCGCCCACGGCTCTGCTGGGACTGCCCGCCCCACCCCCTCCTCTTCCCACCACTGCCACAGTTGCAGGACCTTTCCCTCCTGCTGCCCACCTCCGAGGGGTCAGGACAGCGCCTGAGCTGAGCATCCTACCAGATCTGGGTGGCAGCTGGTGAGGAAGGGGAGAAGGAGGAGGAGGAGGAGGAGCAGGAGCAGGAACAGGAGGAGGAGGGGGAGGAGGAGGGGGAGGAGGAGGAGCAAGAGGAGGAGGAGCAGGAGGAGGAGGAGCAGAAAGGAGGGGGAGGAGGAGGGGGAGGAGGAGGAGCAAGAGGAGGAGGAGCAGGAGGAGGAAGAGGAGGAGCAGGAGGAGGAGGAGGAGGAGCAGGAGGAGGAGGAGCAGAAAGGAGGGGGAGGAGGAGGGGGAGGAAGAGTGGGAGCAGGAGGAGGAGGAGGAGGAGGAGGAGGAGCAGGAGGAGGAGGAGGAGCAGGAGGAGGAGGGGGAGGAGAGGAGGAAGAGGCTGCACAGAGACCCACAGAGGAGAAACTCAAACCCACACCCCTCAGGGCCCAGCGCACCCCACACCCAGGCCTGTGAGACGGAGCAGGACGGGAGGGGGGTGCGGCTGGGGTTCCGCGCCCCTCAGCGCCTGCCCTGCGCACTGCGGCCCAAAACCACCAACGCTTTTTTTGTTTTTGAAGTCGGTCGTGGGGCTTGAACTCTGGGCCTGGGCGCTGTCCCTCAGCTCTGCAGCTCCAGGCGGGCGCTCTACCACTCGAGCCACAGCGCCACTTCCTGTTTTCTGGTGGCTCATGGGAGAGAAGAGTCTCACGTTCTTTCCTGCCCGGGCTGGCCTCGAACCGCGATCCTCAGCTCTCAGCCTCCTGAGGAGCTGGGATGACAGGCGGGAGCCACTGGCGCCTGGCTCACACGTGGCTTTTCTAACCTCCAGCAGGTCGCACGCACACTCGCACGCGCGCCTCCTGCTCTCCCTGACGCGTGCATGCGCGTGCGTGCGCGCACACTCACCGGGTCGTGGATGGTCTCGGAGAAGAGGGGCGCGCGGTCGGAGAAGCAGGCGAGCGCGAGCTGCGCGAGCACGAGGGTGAAGTACACGTAGAACGTGGCGTCGCGGAACGTGTCCACCGGCGCGCCCTGCGGGGGGGGGGGGGACCAGACTCACTGAGCGCCTCCCTGCCTCAGTTTCCCCTCCTACGAGCACGTCTGGGGTGAGTGTCCCCATGGGGCGCCCGGGCCAGGCGCCAGGCAGAGCCACGCCCGCGCCCCGCGGCATGCTGGGAGGGCCATCGAGGTGCCCGCGTGGGCCCGTGGGGCTTTGCAGAGGGAGCTCTGAGCAAAGAAGGTTCTAGAAAACACCGGCTGCGGCCGAGCCAGGGAGGCGCCGGGGGAGAGGCCAGGCCTGGCTGGGGCACTCACCTCCCGTAAGGCGGCCATGATCTTGGATCTCAAGATGACCAGGGCGCACAGGAGGGCGACGAGCCAGAACGTGAGCATGATCCCCGACGACTGCACCCCCTTCCTCCGCTCCAGCTGGATGAGGAAGGTGGCGAGCAGCTGCGAGAGACACACGCACGGACACACAGACACACGCACAGACACACAGACACACAGAGAGAAAGCACCGGCGGTGCTCAGAGTGGCAGGAGCGCCGTGCAAGGCCTCGCGCTCCCTGACGTCCCCTGCGTCCACTGTGTGCGCGCCTGTGGCTCGCCCCCCCCCCCCCGCCCGCCGCACAGGCCACCGTGGCCTCCTCTCCGACCCCAGGACCGTTGCACGTGCTGCCGGCAGCTGGCCGGCCTGAACTCAACCCCGGCATCCTGCTCAGCTTTGAGCCCGGCGGGCCCCAGCTCGGTCCCCCAGGGCCAGCCTGTGGCACCCACACTGGGTGCCTTCATGTGGGGGTTCTTCCAGCCCCAGGGCCCCGTGGGGCAACCGTCTGCCCACAGGAGCCAGAAACCCGGCCTGGACACCTTGGAAAGTGAGGCGCGCTGTGGGGGCACCAGGCCCGGCAACCCCTGCACACACACACACGTCCACACACGCGCATGCGTGACGTGGTACAATTCGGGACAGGCCCCTCTGTGGCGTGGCGCATCACGGCTGGGCGTGGTGACGCACACCTGTAGTCCCCTCCTCCAGGAGGACGGGGGGGGGGCAGCTCCACTCACCATGGTGATGCCCAGCAGCGTGGGGCTGACCAGCAGCACCGGCGCCAGCGGCGTGCCCTGACTTCTTTCCCAGAAAGTGTAGAAGAGGTCTGCCCAGCACACGACCCAGAGCAGGAACCCCAAGGCCTGGAAGAAAGGGGGGACACCCCCAGTGAGCCCCGGGTTCCCGGGCGTCACTCGCCAGGAAGACCGCCACAGCTCCGCCTCGGGTCGCGGTCCCGGCGTGTCCGTGGCTCTGCCACACAGACCCACACAGGCCTCAAAGACGGGACGCTGGCCGTGGTGGTGCACGCCTGTAGTCCCGGCACCCAGCAGCCTGAGCCCAAGCTCTGGGGGGCCTGGGCTCCACCGGGAGATCCTGTCTCAGAAAGAGGCAAAAGGAGGGGGCTGGGAAGGCGGCTCGGTGGTAGAGCGCTTGCCTCGCATGCCTGAGGCCCTGGGTTCGACTCCTCAGCACCACATTCGCAGAAAAAGCCAGAAGTGGCGCTGTGGCTCAAGTGGTAGAGGGCTAGCCTTGAGCAGAGAGAGGCTCAGGGACAGCGCCCAGGCCCAGAGTTCAAGCCCCAGGACTGGCAAAAAAGAAAAAGGAGGAAAGCACTATTGAGAGCAGAGGGAGTGAGCAGTGCAAAGGTCCTGTGGCGAGTGGGGGGGGGGGGGGGGGGGGCACTGTGGTTGCTATGAACCAGCAGCTGAGTGGCGCGAGGCCCGGGGCCTGGCGCATGTGACCCGGGTCCTCAGGTGGGCCTCCTTCCCGTGGAGGGCGGCTTTGAGCAAGAAGGAAATCTCATTCACTATTTTAAAAGAAAACAATGTGCCCTGAAAAAAAAAAACCCCAGAACTGTACAAAGTGCTCTCAGAGTTTCAGGTCCACAGCGCGGTCCCCAGACGCTCCTGGCCCGCGGGAAGGGGCGGCCCGCCCAGGGGGGGGGCAGCGACCCGGCCCCTAACCCGGGTCCCCTCCCAGCGACCCCATCTCTACTCCCTGCTCCACCCGCTGCGGCCCGCCTGCGGCGCAGGCACTCACGGTCTTGGCTTTGTTGAGGCGCGTCATCTGGATGTAGCCGCGGCCATGGCGGGTCAGGTAGAGGAAGTAGAGGGGGAAGCAGAGCCAGAGGCAGGCGCAGGGCGCCCAGGCCAGCGCCGTGTTCTGGAAGCACTTGGTGAAGTCGGGGTTGCTGTTGTACCACGTGATGTTCCAGTCCTGGGGACACAACGCGGGCGGCCACTCTTCATACCCAGGGCGCCTGCGCGGAGCCGCCAGCCTCCCGACCTCAGCTCCCGCGTGCAGCCCCACGGGAGTCCCGTGCGACCCACGCACGGCTGCTTGTTGTGGCCACTGTTTTCGACCTCCTCTAGAAAATCCAGCTGCGAGCCCGGCGCCGGGGGCTCACGCCTGTCACCCTAGCTACGCGGGAGGCTGAGGCCTGAGGATCACGGTTCGAATCCTGCCTGAGAACGAAACTCCCCCAGAGACTCTTATCTCCAATCAGCCTTTCAAAAACCTTAAGTGGCGCCGTGGCTCAGGTGGTGGAGCGCTCGCTGTGGGCAGAAGAGCTCAGGGGCGACGCCCAGGCCCAGAGTTCGAGTCCCACCACCGACAACACAACTGTAAAGAGCCAGTGAGGGAAGCAGTATTTTTTTCCATCAAAACGCAGCATGCTGGCCAGGGCGAGCTGGGGGACAGCACCCCCCCGGAAGGCTGAAGGCCCCGGGCTCCAAACACAACACAAAAGGCCCGGATCAAGACCTCCCATCCAAGAGCTTCCGAAGAGGGAGCTAAAGCCGCGCGTGATGGCGCACGCCTGTAATCCCAGCTCCTGGGAAGCTAACGCAGGAAGAGGGGCTTTGTGGGGTGTCTGCTGGGAACGGGGGGGGGGGGGGGAGGCTTTGTGAGAGCTGGGCAGGCTGGGCGGAGGGGGGTACCCCGTGACCCGAGCCGCCCGCCGGCGTGCAGGAGGGAGGGCGTGTGAGGTCGCGGCTCAGCAGCTGGGGCGGGCGGGCGGGCGTGGCTTCCTGCCCGCCAGCTGGCCAGCCTTGACCTCAGCCCGGCCTGGCCGGCCGGCGGGGCAGGGAAGGGGGGGCAGGGGAAGGAGAAAGCTGACCCGCACCAGAACTTTCTTCCACAGAAGGAGGGGCGAGAACCCCACCCAAGCCCGCCTCGGCCGGGAGGGGCGGCGTGCGGGGGCTCCTGTGCGCACCCCAGCGGACCCCAAGCATCGCCCGTGCCTCGCGCCTGGCATCCCCGCTCCTCGGGAGGCTGAGACCTGAGGATCGCGGTTCGAAGCCAGCCCGGGCAGGAAAGGCCGTGAGACTCTGGTCTCCAATAAACCACCAGAAAACCGGACGTGGCGCTGTGGCTCAAGTGGCAGAGCGCCAGCCTTGAGCAAACAATGCTCGGGGTCCGCATCCAGGCCCTGAGTTCGAATCCCAGGACCCAACATGTGTGGGGGCTGTCTTTAGGGGGGGATCCCCTCGCTGAGGCCCACTCAAGGGTCCACGGCCTCCCCCCACCCCTTCCTGCTTCTCTGGGGGCCTCAGAAGCCAACCCAGCGCGGGCGCAGAGCCACGAGAGCTGGGGGGGGCTGGGCTGAGCCCCCCACCCCGCCTCCCACCCTGCCCAAGGGGCAGCGAGGGTCACGCGCGTGGGGTATGGGGTACGGGGCCTCGCGTGGGGGGTGAGGAGCTCCGATCGTCCTCAGGCCCCCGGGGATCACGCTCCACACCCACGCGCGTGGCCAGCGGGGTGGGGGGGGCTGGGGGGTGCAGTGGAGCGGAAGTCATGAAGGGTGACTGCACGCGGGGTCACGAGGCTGGAAAACAAGGTCGCCACTGTCCGCTCGTCTCCACCAAAGGCCGCGGCCACGACCAGCCGAAAACTAGAGCCCTCCGTCCACAAGCAGAGGTTCAGAGGCCAGGAAGAAGCGGGGAGGCAGGCCAGGCCAGAGGAGCCAGTGACAGAAAAGCCCCCCCTACACCCCCCAGATGACAACGTGAGCCAAGACCCGACAGAAACGAGAAAAACAAAACAAACCCAAGCCCAGCACCCCGCCTCACGCCTGTCACCCCCGCTCCCCGGGAGGCAGAGGTAGGAGGATCACAGTTCGAGGCCGGCAGAAGCGAACAGTTAGCAAGGCCCTATCTCAAAACACAGTAAAAGCCAGGAATAGTGGCTCACGCCTGTAATCCCGGCGATGCAGGATGGGGGGGGGGGGGGGGGCAGGAAAAGTCAAAGCCCAAAGCTGGTCTGGGCAAAAGTGTAAGACCCGATCAGAAAAGCAATAAACTCCAATCAAAGCCTTATTTATAAGAAAGCAAAACCAAACAGGGGGGGGGGGGGGGCTCCAGCGCTCAGAGGCTGCTTAGAGGCCAGCATGGCGGGCCTCTGTCTTGAGTGCCAAGGGCACTTGGGGCGCTGGCTTTGGGCCGGAGGCGCCCCTGAGGCCGGCGCTGCGGGGACGGCGGCTCCCAGAACAGGAGCCGCTGGGCGGAGAGCAGGAGGGCCTCGGGTGTGTTGTCCCGCTGCTGTCCCTCCGCGGGGGCTCCCGCTTCACAAATAAACAGCAGCGGGAGCCCAGCCGGGAGAGGCTGTCCCCACCGCGCACGCGCACGCGCGGCTGCCAAGCACAACGGCCCAGCGGCCGGCCGGGCCGGTCCAGGAAGGGACAGGACCGGGATCTGAACCTGAAGGCGTTCAGTGCTGAGCTCCTCGCTAGGAGAAAGCAGGTGCGGGGTCGGGGGACCCCAATGCTGACCCCTGGTCGAGCCGGAGGCCAGCAGGGCGGGCTGTGGAACGCCGGTGTCCCCCCCCCCACCTCACTGGCTGGACCCCATGCAAAGGCCCGGGGGCAGCAGGTCCACCAGGGCCATAGACATCACCAGGGCCGCAGCTCGGGAGCCATAAAAGCATAGCCGGAGCTCCGCCCCACCTGATCCACGCATTCAGGCTCTGGGGGAGGAAGGAGAGGACCAGAGAGGCTAATAACAGCCTCAACACCACACAGCCATCGGAGGGGTGCAGGACACCTGACCGGAGCCAACGCAAGCTTGTGAGAGATGGTATACATAGCACTGATCTACCCAACACAGCGGGGCTCCATGCAGCATGGAACATTCTAGACAGCGATCTGGTGTGAAGTGTCTGTACCACCAATACGGAGAGCGTGGTCATGCATGCCTGCAATACCAGCCGCTCAGGAGACTGAGGTTGCAGGGAGGAGAGCCCACCTGAAGCACGAAACTCACACAAAGGGGCTGGGGGGGTGGCTCAGCACCCACGCCGCCAGCACAAAGCGCAGGGTCTGGTCCCCACGTCGAGGGACCACACTTTCCAGAGGCAGAGGGAGACGCACCAGCTCCCAGCTGGTTCCAGGGTTCAATGGGAAGTCTCTGTGCGCAGCCGAAAGCACGGAACACTCACACCCCGCGCCTGCAAGACCAGCCCCCGGGAGGCAGAGGCAGGATCCTGAGTTCAAGACCATCCTGGGCTACAGAGAGGCTGTCCCGGTCTGCAGGGCTGGACCTGGGGCAGGGGAGGGGGTGGCAGGGGACGCAGCGGGACTCAGTGGCTGGCGCGCTGGCTGGGGATTTGGTAGAAGGAAAGACCATGAGACGCGAGAATGGTGCATGTACAGAATGGTGCGTGTACACACACACACACACACACACACACACACACACACAGTCTACACACACACACACACACACAGTCTACACACACACACACACACACACACACACACACACACACACACACAGTCTATAAGTTGCTCTGCAGGTGCACCAAGGCTCTGAGACTCCCAGACAGACCTGGGGGCAGGGATGGGAGGGGGGAGGAATGGGGGGGCTGAACCCCACCCAGGAGGGTGGGCTGCGGGCACCAGGCCAGGAGGGGCATGGGCGCTTTGTAAAGGCCAGGAGCGGCCTGGCCCCAAGGGCTGCTGGGAAACCCGCAGTGGGGAGCGGCGGCTGGCCACGGCTGGCGAGCTGAGAATAAAGCCCGGAACATGATGGGGGGGGGGGTGATCCCCCATCCCGGGGAGGCCGTGTGTGACCAGGGCTCCAGCCTCGGGGTGCAGCCGTCCAGCGTGGCCAGCACAACGAGCCTGCAGCTCAATGCACGTGGGTTCTGCTTGGCATGGGGGGGCCTGGCACCTCACCCCCGAGCTGGGCCCCATGCCGGGCTTCCTCTTTAAAACCGAACCTTGTGCCCAGCGCGGTGGCTCACGCGTGTCACCCTCGCTACTCAGGAGGCTGAGATCTGAGGACTGCGGCTGGAAGCCAGGCTGGGCAAGGAAAGTCCGTGAGACTCTTTATTTTTGGGTCAATCGTGGGACTTGAACTCTGGGCCTGGGTGCTGTCCCTCAGCTCTTCAGCTCAAGGCGAGCGCTCTACCACTTGAGCCACAGCGCCACTTCCGGCTTTTTGCTTATGTGGTGCTGAGGAATCGAACCCAGGGCCTCAGGCATGCAAAGCAAGCGCTCTACCACTGAGCCACCTTCCCAGCCCCCCCTGTGAGACTCTTATCTCTACTAATTCACAAAAAGCCAGAAGGAGAGCTGTGGCTCAAGCCTGGAGAGAAAAAGCTCAGGGACAGCACCCAGGCCCTGAGTTCAAGTCCTAGGACACGGACACACACACACAAACACACACTTAATCCAATCAAGTCGACCAAGCCTTGGAGGCCACTGCATCCCTGGGCCCACAGCCCGAGAGCCCACGGTGCCACCCAGCCACACGCTGATGGCCACTTGGTGGTGGCCTGCTGGCGCCTCAGACCCGGACCCGACGAGCCCCTGGGAAGCGCCTGTCCCCGCGCCCCGGCGCTGGCCTGGCTCAGGCGCTCCTAAGCCTCCCGCAGCCAGATAACGAGGCGACGGCTCGGGTTCGATCTGATGACCCCGCACGATGCTAAGCGCCGCCGGGGCCCGCGGTGGGATCCCGTGAGCAGCGGGCTGTGCCCCGGTGGGCGCGTGCCCCGGGCCCCGACTCCAGACGGCGCGCGCCGCCTGCTCCTGGGTCATAAGAGAAACCCCTGGATCCGCACCGTCTGGTACGGCAGCTGGCACCCGCAGAGCCCTGCCGCCTCCTCGGGCCGGGTCTCGTGGCATTTGCTCTATGCGGTCTTTGTCCCCTGTCTCCCCTCCCTCCCTCCCTCCTCTGCGTGGTGACCGCTCAAGGTCCTGGTCCTGCAGGCCCCGGGGC